TGCTCCATGCTCCTAGTCCCTGAGGGTGACCCAGACGCCTTCGACATCTCGACCCCTCTCACCTACGCTGAGGCCACCTCGGGGCCTTGGGCCTCTCAGTGGATAGCTGCCATGGAGCAGGAGATGGCATCTTGGAGGTCCACCGGCACTTACGTCGACGCAGTTCCCCCGCCTGGGGTGAACGTAGTCGATGGTCGGTGGCTCTTCAAGGTGAAGCGCCCTCCTGGAGAGCCGCCTGTCTTCAAGGCGCGTTACGTGGCCAGAGGCTTCAGCCAGCACTAGGGGGTTGACTTCTTCCAGACCTTCGCCCCGGCCCCGAAGATGACCACTCTTCGGGCGCTGCTATACGTAGCAGCACAACGTGACTACAAGCTTCACTCCCTTGACTTCTCTACTGCCTTTCTTCAGGGCAGCCTACACGAGCAGGTCTACCTGCGCCGACCACAGGGCTTCACCGGTACCTTCCCCCCTGGGACCCAGTGGCTTCTCAGCCGCCCGGTCTACGGCCTGCGCCAGGCTCCCCACGAGTGGCACGACACGCTGCGTGCCATGCTAGCAGACCTGCAGTTCTTTCCGTCCTCTGCTGACCCCTCGCTGTTTGTGCGTTCCAGCCAGACTCCATTCCACATCCTTGTCTACGTAGACGACCTGGTCTTCGCTACGGCTGACAAGGACGCACTGGCCAATATGAAGGCCGAGCTGCTGAAGAGACACACCTGTACTGACCTTGGAGAGTCGCGTTGCTATCTTGGCCTTCAGATCTCTAGGGACAGAGCAGCATGCACCATCACTCTGACACAGTCACACTTGGTGCGTCAGGTCCTTCAGAGGTTCGGTCTTCAGTTCTCCTCCGCACAGCCCACACCTCTACCTGTAGACCATGGGCTCTCCGCTCCCGTTCCTGAGGAGCCAGTAGAGCCGAGCGGCCCCTACGTAGAGCTGGTGGGTTGCCTCATGTACCTGATGACTTGCACTCGCCCAAATCTTGCATACCCTCTCAGCATCCTGGCTCGCTTTGTGGCCACAGGCAGACATCGACCTCAACACTGGTCGGCCACTAAGAGGGTTTTGCAATATCTAGCAAGTACATCAGGCAGGGGGTTAGTGCTAGGAGGACGCAGGCCGGTGGTCCTCACGGGGCACACAGACGCTTCTTGGGCAGACGACTATGAGACACTCAGGTCGTCGCAGGGCTGCTGTTTTAGTCTTGGTTCGGGTGCTATCTCTTGGAGATCCATTCGCTCGTCGTCTGTTGCTCAGTCCAGCTGTGAGGCTGAGATCTACGCCGGTGCCATGGCGTCACAGGAGCTCCGCTGGCTGACCTTCTTGCTCACAGACTTAGGTGAGCGGCCTAGCTCTGCCCCAGTCCTGTACGTTGACAACAGGGCCATGATTCTCCTGTGTCAGGAGCCTTGGCTTGAGGGCAGAGCGAAGCATATCCAGTTGCGGTACTTCCTCCTGCGCGAGCTACAGCTGCGTCGCCTGGCCCGCGTGGTTCACTAAGCCTCAGGTGCCAATACAGCTGATATCTTTACTAAGGCGCTTGCGCCTAAAGATCATCAGCGACACTGTGTACAGCTTGGTCTTGTTCCTGTAGCTACTCACCTGTTAGGACCCTGATTGTGTACTCTCTATTATATATATCTGTCTGACTGGCCTTGTGGCCTTACCTCCAGTGGCTGGACTAGTAGTGCCGCCCTGGCTTGCTTGAGTCTTGCTTGTACTCTTGCTGACTGGTCTCAGGACCCCTACCTCAGTGGTTGGACTAGTAGTGCCACCCTGAGATGTGTGCATCTTGCTAAGCACCACCCCTTCTCTAGCCTAGAGGGTGTGTCAACTTATACATATGCTGTATGTAGAAGTTATAGGCTAGCCTAGGTGTGTGCTTTTAGTGAGTACAACCCCAACAGGTACATGTTCTAGGTTTCTCACACTAGTCTAGTCATTCTCTCTTTCTAACAAAAACACCCTACGTTGTTAATAAAAATGCAGGGAAATTTTGGGCTAGGTGTAATTAAAGGCAAAAAAAATAAAAACACCCAGGAGTTATGGAATGTGCATATCAGGGCCTCAGATTCGTTTAGAGGCACCCTGATAGCTCAGGGTCCCCCCACCCTGGTCTCATGATTTTTCAGGCCTCTCCAAAAAAAAATCCCTGACCCATCAAGGTCCCTAGAATTTTTCACGATGAGTAAACGTGATTATACACAGTAAGCACGCTGGGTGATATATGCCTAGAATTATGCGGTAGCAGGGTTCTCAATGGCAGCAGGCGCAGAGGGACCAAGGCTAGGATTGGGCTCTGAAAGTATGTCCGCTCAAAAACAAAAATGGACGGTCGCATTCAAGTCGGCGGGATTGACAGGGAGGGTTGAAGAAACTCACAGAAATCACGGGTGGAGGGGTGGGGGTTGCGAATCTGCTATTACACGAATCTGGACAAACAGGGCTCACTACACTAGTAACGCTGATCGATCAGAGTTCACTCCTAAAAAAACCCTGAAATTTGGGCTAGTGTCTTCAAAAAATCATGTCTCATCAGGGTCACCCCCCACAAAAGCCCCGAATTTACCCTGAATCAGGGTAAAAAGCTTGCAATCTGAGGCCCTGGTGCATATGCATTTTTTTATTGGAATTCAAGTGTGCATGTTTCTGTCAGAAACCCAGCCACTAACCACTGGGTTAAAAGGGCTTGTTGAATAGCGGGTAAGTGCGCCCATAGCCCCCCAGGCTCTGCACCTGTGGCCCTTCCCCGAGGATCTCAAGGGCAACCCCAGCGGGTCACTCAACACCCCCCCCCCCCCCGCTGGGGATAGGTGGAAGACACGAGCGCCTCTGCAGCGCTGGCACCGGGAGTTGAACCCAAGACCTTTGGCTCTGATACCATGTCAGAAACCCAGTCACTAACCACTGGGTTAAAAGGGCTTGTTGAATAGCGGGTAAGTGCGCCCATAGCCCCCCAGGCTCTGCACCTGTGGCCCTTCCCCGAGGATCTCAAGGGCAACCCCAGCGGGTCACTCAACAGTTTCACCACCTTCATTTGAGTCAGATACCCACTTTTGGTCATTTCATTGCATACCGGACGACATTGCCCATCTGCATGCCACATTGGCACTGCGCGTACAGTGCCAGAGAGGATGTCGTCAGAACAACCAATCGGCATACGTTTGATTTGGGCGGGACACGCGAAAGTCGAGTACAGTATGAAACTCTCGGATTTCAATGTTCTCTGTGTTTTTGTTTTCGTTCGGGCAGATTGGTCTCCTACATAAATACCCGCGTCGCGATGGCCACGAGCTCGTTTTCCCCACTTGCTTTGATGACGTGCATATGGTTGTGTTCAAATTATATAAGTTATAATTTAATATAGGCTTGGTAGGTTGTTACTGAACCTTTCTGTAGGGGGTACAAACCCCTCCTTGTACTCCCCTCTCTTCTAATCCAACATCTTTTCTCTCCTCAACTTTCCTAGCACCTAAAACCTCTCGCCATTCTCATGGCTCCTCCTAGCTCCTAGCTAAACCTTGTGCCATTCTATGGCTTCCTAGCTAAGCTAGTTTCTGACATGGTATTAGAGCAGTTCGTTCCGCGTGGGCCTGCTCCTCGCGTTTCCGCTGCGTGCTCGTTTCTCTCTCTATCTCGCGCTGCCATGGCGGCCGCGTCAAGCTGCTGTGGCCGCGTCGTCGTGCCGCGGCGCCGCCGTCGACGTCCATGGCGCCCGCGTCCAGCTGCTGTGGCCGCGCCGTCGTGCCGCAGCTCCGCCGTCGCGTCAAGATGCTGTCGCGACGTGACGGCGCCGTCACGCTGCCGCGGCGTCTACGCGACAGCGCGCGGTCGGCGTAACGGCGACGTCGTGTTGCCGTCGCAACGTCGACGCCCCGCTGCGGCATCGACGCCGCTCCATGACGGCGTCGTCGGGCTGCAGCCGGCCGCGTGACGCTTGTGGCGCCGCTAGACCGGCCGCCCGCATGTCAGCCTGTGGCGCCCCCCCCCCCCACCCCCCTCCTTCCCTTGTGCCCTCTTCCATTCCGCAGACGACGGCTGACTCCCGCCGGCCGTCCCACCGTCGCGGGGCCTGGCCACGTCGCCGAGAGGTGCGGGTGCCGCCACCGCTGCCGCTGTTGTCGAAGCCGCCGCCGCCGCCGCTGTCGCCGCTTGCGTCGGGGCCACGCAGCCGCACGCCGCCGCCGCTGCCGCTGTCGACACTGCCGCCGCTGCTGCCGTCGCCGCCGCAGCCCCTGCGGTCGACGTCGCCGCCTCACGCGCCGTGGGGTCGACCGCCCTAGAGTCGCTGTCACTGTGGCTGGAATGGGGGTGCTAGGTTAGGGGGTGTGGGTGTGTGTGGGCATGTGACTACCAAGCCTAGGGGGTGTGTTCAAATTATATAAGTTATAATTTAATATAGGCTTGGTAGGTTGTTACTGAACCTTTCTGTAGGGGGTACAAACCCCTCCTTGTACTCCCCTCTCTTCTAATCCAACATCTTTTCTCTCCTCAACTTTCCTAGCACCTAAAACCTCTCGCCATTCTCATGGCTCCTCCTAGCTCCTAGCTAAACCTTGTGCCATTCTATGGCTTCCTAGCTAAGCTAGTTTCTGACAGGTTGCCCCAGCAGGAGTGGAAAAATCGAATGGCTGCACACATCTACGCACCACAAAATTCTGGTGTTTCCTGCTAAAAATGGAGATTCTAGGTGGCAGGGGGGTGTGTTAAAGGTAGCTCTTAGGCTAGGATACTAGGCAGGAACAAGGCCGCCATGAATGTGGCGGCGGGGTTTAGATAGGAGCTGGACGAGAGTGTCGAGAGAGAAGAGTGTTGGATTAGGAAGAGGGGAGTACAAGGAGGGGTTTGTACCCCCTACAGAAAGGTTCAGTAACAACCTACCAAGCCTATATTAAATTATAACTTAGATAATTTGAACAGGGTGTTCAAAAGTTTTCACGTCCGAGAGTAGGGTGTTGTGTATATCCAGAAAAAATAAACACCCATACCCGCTCAAACTACCCGGGGGAGCTTAATTCCGGCGGGTTTTTTTTACGGGGGATTACGGTACACGGTTTTTTGGAGGCCAGCCCTGATTGGTCAGGATGCCCAAAATCATATCTGAGGCCCTGCTCTGCACAGCTTAGAAAGAGATGGCACTGCACTAGCTTGCTTTGAAGGTTGCAAATAAGCTTACCGATACGTGTCTATATCATGTCTGGTTTGACTTTCTGGGAATTACCACGTCTTGTCATGTCACTGCCAGTTTAACTCTCGAGTACAGTACTGTACAGGGATCCTGCTTGGTCTGCGTGGTATGGTGTCACTTGTTGGTCTGCAGAGTTACCTCTGAGACCCACCCCAACACAAAGCAACACGCATCACACAGCACAGCATGCTCAGTGCCGCGCCGGCCAAACTTGGGCGAGAGGAAGGGACGAGGAATTGAGGAGCAGCGATGCATTTGAGGGGTGTGCGGGGGAGGGTTGGTGCAGGCCCGAGAGCCACTGGCATGCGACAATGACATCGGACGCCACCCCTGTGATGCTCACTGTGACCCCCACCACCAGCATGCACCACACCGCCACCCGCTCCGTGCTTGACAGCGTTAGACCCGGGGTTCTGGCGGGAAGGAGGGGAAGAAACGAGGGAGGGGGTGAGAGAAGGGGGGAGAGAGCGAGATGAGGATGGAGAGAACCGTTGGGGGGGGCAAGAGGGAGGGGGGAGCGAGTGGCAACTGGGAACAGGGAGGAATTTACAAGCACAGGAAGTCGTGAAGTCTTGCTGAGCGATAGGGCGGCGATACAATTACAATTACACAGCAGCACAAGCACACTCACAGCAGCGCAAGCACACTCACAGCAGCGCAAGCACACTCACAGCAGCGCAAGCACACTCACAGCAGCGCAAGCACGCTCACAGCAACGCAAGCACACTCACAGCAGTGCAAGCACACTCACAGCAACGCAAGCACACTCACAGCAGCGCAAGCACACTCACAGCAGCGCAAGCACACTCACAGCAGCGCAAGCACACTCACAGCAGCGCAAGCACACTCACAGCAGCGCAAGCACACTCACAGCAGCGCAAGCACACTCACAGCAGCGCAAGCACGCTCACAGCAGCGCAAGCACACTCACAGCAGCGCAAGCACACTCACAGCAGCGCAAGCACACTCACAGCAGCGCAAGCACACTCACAGCAGCGCAAGCACACTCACAGCAGCGCAAGCACACTCACAGCAGCGCAAGCACACTCACAGCAGCGCAAGCACACTCACAGCAGCGCAAGCACACTCACAGCAGCGCAAGCACATTCACAGCAGCGCAAGCACACTCTCAGCAGCGCAAGCACACTCACCGCAGCGCAAGCACGCTCACAGCAGCGCAAGCACACTCACAGCAGCGCAAGCACACTCACAGCAGCACAAGCACACTCACAGCAACGCAAGCACACTCACAGCAGCGCAAGCACACTCACAGCAGCGCAAGCACACTCACAGCAGCGCAAGCACACTCACAGCAGCGCAAGCACACTCTCAGCAGCGCAAGCACACTCACAGCAGCGCAAGCACACTCACAGCAGCACAAGCACACTCACAGCAACGCAAGCACACTCACAGCAGCGTAAGCACACTCACAGCAGCGCAAGCACACTCACAGCAGCGCAAGCACACTCACAGCAGCACAAGCACACTCACAGCAGCGCAAGCACACTCACAGCAGCGCAAGCACATTCACAGCAGCACAAGAACACTCACAGCAGCGCAAGCACACTCACAGCAGCGCAAGCACACTCACAGCAGCGCGAGCAGGGCAGACCCAGCAGCCCACACCCCAGGAGGAGCCCCATGGTGACTTTTGGTTCGAATCAAAAGTCAACTTATCCTCACAGCAAGGCAAGCAGGGCGGGGAAGGTGAACCCGATAGAAACAGTGACGATGGCGCCGAGCACTGAGACGAGAGTGTAGATGTACAGCACCAGCAGCCCGCACCCCAATGAACCCCATGGTGGCATTTGGTTCAGCTTAAACTCACAGCAAGGCAAGCAGGGCAGGGAAGGTGAACCCGATAGAGACAGCGACAATGGCGCCGAGCAGAGAAAAGAGCGCGTAGATGTCCGGCACCAGCAGCCCGCACCCCAGGATCAGCCCCATGGTGGCCGCTGTGAGCCAGAAGAAGCGGCGCTGCGAGCGCCAGAGCGGCAGGCGCGCGCGGGGGAAGAGCAGGATGTCAGCGGTGAGGCGCAAGGGGAAGTGCACTATGGGGAAGACGAGCAGCAGGTGCACTATGTACCCCACCCGCACTATGTCATCCATGGCCTGGGGAGAGGGGGGGAGAGGGGGAGGGGGAGGGGGGAAGAAGGTGGGGGAAGGAGGGGGCGGGGAGTGGGGGAGGAGGAGGGGAAGGAGGCGGGGGGGTGGGGGGACGGGAGGAGAGATGGGAATGGGGATGGGGAAGGACATAATGGAACTGGGTTGAGCGTGAGGGAGCATGGGGAATGGAGAAAGGAGGGAGAAAAAAAGGGGACTTAGAACATTCACAGAACTCATGCTTAGCCCATGCACCCAATCCCCTCCCTGCTATCCGACCCCCTTCCCCTTTCCCTCCCCACCCACTCGTCCCCCACCACCGCCACCTTCCCCTCTCCCCCACACACACCTGGCTGAGCCCCAGGTCCTGGTCGTGGTTAGCGAGCACGTCAGCAGCAGTGCTGTCTCGGAACAGCAGGTCTACAAACAGCGCCGCTGTCGCGTACAGCCCCATGCAGTTGGCCCAGTTGGCTCATGCTCAGTAGGCCCAGTAGGCTTAGTAGGCCCAGTAAGCTAACAAAACTCATGCTTAGCCCATGCACCCTACTACAAGATCCCCTCCCTGCTTCCCGTTCCACTCCTTCCCTCTTCCCCCTTCCCCTTCCCCCTTCCCCTTCCCCCTTCCCCCTTCCCCCTTCCCCCTTCCCCCTTCCCCTTCCCCCTTTCCCCCTCCCCTCCCCCATGCCCCCCCACCCGCACCTGGCTGAGCCCCAGGTCCTGGTCGTAGTTGGCGAGCACGTCAGCAGCAGTGCTGTCCCCAAACAGCAGGTAAGCAAAGAGAGCCGTCGTGGCGTACAGCCCTGTGCAGATGGCCTGCGACAGCCCCGCTGCTCGCTCCATGGTGGCACCGGGATGGAGGCACGCCGGCGAGTCCTTGAGCTCTCGGTAAATGGGCTGGACTGTGGTGGGAGGACGGGATGGAAGGGGAGAGGGGCGGGATGAAGGGGGGGAGGGCGGAATGTAAGAGGGCGTACCATGCCGTGCGGATGGCCTGCGCCAGACCTGCTGCTCGCTCCATGGTAGCGCTGGGATGGAGGCATCCGGGCGAGTTCCTGAGCTGGCGGTAAATGGGCTGGACTGCGGTGGGGGGACGGGATGGAGAGGGGGGAGAGGGGCGGAATGCAAGAGGGCGCACAGCCGCCGCAGATGGTCTGCGCCTGCCCTGCGGTGCGCTCCATGGTGGCGCCGCCGGGAGTGAGGCAGGCAACGATTCCCTGAGCTCGCCGTAGATGGGCCGGACTGTGGTGCTGGCAGGCGGACGATTCCTTATCGATGGACGGGGAGGGAGCTCAGGAGGGGGCGGAATGTGTTAGGGCGCACAACACAGCCCTGTGCAGGCAAATGAATGAGCTGGCGTTTGAGTCGACTCAAAAGTCAGCCCTGTGCAGACAGATGGGCTGCGCCAGGCCGGCCGAGGGCCACACACGAGGGGCGAGTCCTTGAGCTCGCAGTAGATGGGGGTGGGAGTGTGGATGGTGGGGGTGGGTGGAGGGGGGGGGGGAGAGGGGATGGAGGGCGAGGAATTAACAGGGTGTATTGCACAAAGTGAGCCCCAAAAGAGGTGCTGGCCATTGCAGTGGCAGACGAAGGCGTTGGTCATGACAAGAGCTCGTTCTCCCTGTCCCCTCCCCCCAGAAACCCCTCCAGCCCCACTTCCCTCACTCCCCCCCCCCCCCCCCCCTCTCCCCTGTCCTCTTTCCCAAGAGAAGACTGACCATTGTAATGGCGGATGAAGGCGTTGCTCATAACATGCACGACCTGCCCCCTCTCCCTCTCCCCCCAAAATCCGAAATCCCCCCCCCCCCCCCCCCTCCTCCTCCCCCTCACCTCCCTCCCCCAAAGAAAGAAAAGATGGCTGACCGTTGTAGTGGCAGATGAAGGCGTTGCTCACGGCGGGCACGATCCGCCCCCTCCCCCCAAAAAACCTCCAACGCAACTCTCCGCCTCCTCCCCTCCCCCCTGCCCCCCCCATCCTCCCCCAAGAGAGAAAGCGAACGAACGGAGGCTGACTGTTGTAGTGGCAGATGAAGGCGTTGGTCATGATAGGCACGACCTTCCCCCTCCCCCCAAACAACCCCAAACCTATCTCCTCCCCCCCCTCCCCTCTCCCCAGAATAGAAAGACAAGACGGGCTGACCGTTGTAGTGGCAGATGAAGGCGTTGGTCATGACAGGCACGACGGTGAAGATGGCGAGCACGGCCTGCCACGACGACACGTCCGGCACCAGCCGCAGCGCTGGCAACCGCCCCTGCACCACGCGCACTATGGCCGCCGCCGCTGTGAAGAGCACAAAGAGCACGGCCAGCCCCACTGAGAGCGCTGACGTCGTCATTAGGGAGTCTGGGGGGGTGTTGCGGTTGCGGGTGGATGGTGAGGGGGGGATGGCAGATGGGTGATGGCACATGGCACATGGCAAATGGCAAATGGCACATGGCACATGGCACATGGCACATGGCAAATGGCACATGGCACATGGCACATGGCACATGGCAAATGGCACATGGCACATGGCACATAGGCACATGGCACATGGCACATGGCACATGGCAAATGGCACATGGCACATAGGTACATGGCACATGGCACATGGCACATGGCACATGGCAAATGGCACATGGCACATGGCACATGGCACATGGCAAATGGCACATGGCACATGGCACATGGCACATGGCACATGGCACATGGCACATGGCAAATGGCACATGGCACATGGCACATGGCACATGGCACATGGCAAATGGCACATGGCACATAGGCACATGGCACATGGCACATGGCACGAGGGAGGGGCTACTGGTGAGCACACGGAGCACACAAAGTCCCGGTAGATCGACTGGTGGTGAGAAGCAGCACTGGGAGGAGGAGGAGGAGGAGGAGGAGGAGGAGGAGGAGGAGGAGGAGGAGGAGGAGGAGGAGGAGGAGGAGGAGGAGGAGGAGGAGGAGGAGGAGGAGGAGGAGGAGGAGGAGGAGGAGGAGGAGGAGGAGGCGGAGGAGGAGGAGGAGGAGGAGGAGGAGGAGGAGGAGGAGGAGGAGGAGGAGGAGGAGGAGGAGGAGGAGGAGGAGGAGGAGGAGGAGGAGGAGGAGGAGGAGGAGGAGGAGAAGGAGGAGGAGCAACCTCCCCCCGCACTGACCTATGCGGCGCAGCAGCACGAGCGGCAGCAACACTAGCATCGTGACGGCAATGAGCACCACGGCCCTCCCGTTCCACCACGTGGGGCCGCCCGCCAGCTCCTCCAGCAGTCCCACGTGGTGCACCACGCCTGGACCCCCCTCCGACGTGCCCGATAGCACGTCCGCTGGGATGGGAAGTGTGTCGGTCGGGTGGTGCGGGCGGGGGGCGGAGAGGGGGTGGGAGGGAGGGGGTGGAGGGGGTTGTTGTTAAGTATGACTGGTGGGAAGGCTTGAGGATGTGTGTGTATGTATGCGAGTCTTTTTGAGGGCGGAAAGGGGAAGAGCGACCATGCATCAGACGACAAAGTGGTAGCACTCTGACAGTCACATTACCGGTGACAATGGGGTAGCATAGCAGCACTCTTGAGTTGACTCAAAAGTAGCACCGTACCAGTGATGATGAGATGAGGGCACCCGATGGTCCACCGCAGCAAGATTGCAGACCGTTTTGAGCGCCCGATCCCAAAAACGACTCCAGGTCCTGTCTCGTACCAGTGATGGTGATGCATCAGTGTCGCATCAATCCTTTTGAGTAGACTCAGAAAGCCACTCCTTCTTAGAGCTCCAACTCACGACTTTAGCCCTGTCCTACCCAGTGCCCGGTGCCCGGTGCCCCGTGCCCCGTGCCCCGTGCCCGGTGCCCAGTGCCCAGTGCCCACCCACCAGTGGTGATGAGGTACATGGTGAGCGACCCCAGCGCAGCGACTGCACCGTGATGAGGTGACGAACTGACTTGTGATACTACTCTCCGTGGCAACTTGGCAAGCCACCCAGTCACCCAGTCACCCAGTGTCAGTCAGTCAGCAGGGCAAGTCGTGTCCTCCTCTACTCACCCGTGATGATGAGGTAGACGATGAGCGACCCCAGCGCCGGCACCCTGTAAGCCCTGTCCTACCGTACCGACCAGCACCATCAGGTCAGGGCACGCCCTGCTGTGTCCCACCCACTCACCCGTGATGATGAGGTAGACGATGAGCGACCCCAGCGCCTGCACCATGACGAACACCTCGCACATCACGCGCCCGCGCTCCCCAAAGCGCGTGCCCATGAGGTGGCCGTACGACGGCGAGTTGGTGGCCGCCGCCAGGCGCACTATGATGAGCACCGCGCCGTTGGTGAGCGCGCCCATGAAGAGGATTAAGAGGAGGCCCAAGGGGAGGCCCAACACCTGACGGGGGGAAGGAAGGAGATGATTTTTGAGTCGACTCAAAAATCACTCAGGAAGGAGATGTGGGGTGGGAGGAGAGAATGGGGAGTTGGAGGCCGCCGCCAGGCGCACTATGATGAGCACCGCGCCGTTGGTGAGCGCGCCCATGAAGAGAATGAGGAGGAGGCCCAAGGGGAGGCCCAAGGGGAGGCCCAACACCTGGAATTAGTGGTGGGGGAGTTCGGGGAGTTCGGGGAGTGTGGGGAGTGGGGGGAGTGGGGGAATGGGGGGAGTGGGGGGAGTGGGGGAATGGATGTGGAAGGGACTATCATGAGCACGGCGCTGTGGAAGAGCGCGCCCATGAAGAGAACGAGGAACAGACCTAGGGGAGGGAGGCCCTATATCTGATGGAGGGGAGGGGTGGTGGGGGGGAAAGGGGGTGGGGTGGGAGGGAGGCGGGAGGAGAGACGGAAGGAGAAGGGACGTGGGGGAAGTGGGGAGAACTATGATGAGCACGGCGCTGTGGGTTGGTGTATCACCATCCTCACCACCATCGCCACCATCACCATCACCATCACCATCACCATCACCATCACCACCACCACCACCAATCACACCTTAACAGTGGCGGGTAGCGCCATGATCCCCGCGCCCACGCTCGTCGTCGCCAGATTAAACACCGCGCTCCAAAGCCCGCCTCCCCCTCCCCCGTGCCCTCCGCTCAGCGCCGCCACCTCTTCCGCCCTGCCTCCGCTTCCGCCCTTCCGCCCTCCGCCCCCGCCTGCAGCGCCAAGCGCCGCTAGATTCCCCGAGGAGCGCTTCAGAACCACCACGTCATCCAGGTGATCCTCGCCGTCGCTCGCGCCGTGCCTTGCGCCGTCTCTTGCGCCGTCCTTGGCGGTGGCGGTGGTTACTAGGTCGCTGTCGACTAAACGGTCCGCCGATTCGCCCGCCGCGTCGCATGCCGCTGGCTCTGCGACCGCGTTAGGCGGAGATTCGTGAAGGAGAGGGGCTCTGATTGGATCCATGGCGGCGATTGGCGATTGGAGGAGCAGCAGGGGGGAGGAGGAGGAGGAGGCCGCCGCTGGTGGCAAGCGGAGGGCAGGAGGAACTAATAGGCGACAGGATTGATCCTTCCTCACGGAGACAGGAGACTAGGAGACTACTGGAATGATCATTCTGGCGGTGAATTCAGGTTACACGTCGGCCAAGCTTCCGTCTCAGTTCACGTGGCGACAAAATCGTCGTGAGACATAGCGGCGGGAGATGGCAGTGTGTGAATGCCGGGGGGGGTGGAAAGTTCGAAGGACCACGTATAGCGACGCGTGAGGGAGACACGATAGCACGGCAGATTATATAGACGACCGGAGATGGATGAGGATATGGATGTGGATATGGAGAGCTAGCTCTACAATGGATGGTTCACAATGAATGGTTCACAATGAATGGTTCACAATGAATGGTTCACAATGGATGGTTCACAATGATGGATAGCGAGCGGTTAGACTTGTGGCACAATGGAACTCCTAGCAGCAGTCGTACGCACGTCTCGCTACTCTGAATCTCTCGCATCAACCACATGCACGGAACCCGCTTCTGAGGTTTGTGGGAGCAAATTCTTCTGATGTTACTTGCCCCTAGCAGTCACTCGCTCCTCCTGAGAACGCACCACGACCATCACCACCACCAGCACAGCTGATCTACACGGTACCACAGGAAGTGCTGTGATCACCAAGGGCACGCTCTCTCCCATGTTTGTATTCTCCTCGCAATAAGCACACGCAACCAGCTCATTGTTTCTGTAGCGAAGCGAAGCGCGCTGAGCCGGCTGGTGTGTGTTCCTGCGGAGCTGATGTGGGGCCACCTTGAAGCTGCCAATGGATGATGCACTCGACAATTCAGTAGGCACCACGTGGCGAAGCGCTCTAGGTGGATTTCTTGCCTACTCAGCAGGGTCAACAACCTCTCAAACGTGCCATTGGATTCGGGGGACCTCATTTTCCTTCCAGCCACGAGCTCCATCCAAGTTTCACCAACCATGTCTCGGAGGTGCCTGAGCTCGGCGCGCCGTAGCATACCAGAAACAGGCAGCGTGCAACACCACCCCCAGAAAATGCGAACTGACATGTGTGTGGGTGTTTGCCACAAATCCACACAACATTCCAGATCTATGCCTTGTACTGGGGCCAAATGAAAAAACTAATTGAAGTCAAGACTGGGGCAAAAATGAAGAAAAAAAAAATCCAATCCCAATAAGTTAGCAATCAGGTTCTGCTAAAACAAAATTGTACCACGTGTGAAGTACTCAGCTCCAATAGCCCCCTCCTACCTGTAAGTCAGCCCATCACAAATCTGATAGCCCATAGCGCCACTAGCACCAGGAGAACCAGCATGAGGAAGAGAGCAATCCACTTGACAAGCTGGGCTGTCCTCTCTTCACGTTTCAGGTTCGCCGGCAGTGGCAGGGCCTTGAGGAAGGCAGAGGACAGGTTGGACAGCCTCTGCGAGTGCAGCTGCCCCGCCATTTCCTTGGCAGTGACCGAGTCGTCCATAATCATTGCCTCAATCTGAGCAATGGCGTCCGCATCCGCGCCTGCAACTCCCTTTCGCCCTGACAAACCTGCCCCCTGGCCCTTCTTCCCTTGCTTGCCTGCATCCACGCTGGAGCTGCGACGCAGTGCCGCCCCTCGCTTCGTCAGCCGACCATTTCGGGGAGTGGTGGATGAAGCAGTTGGGGTAGTGATTGCAGCAGGAGAAGGTGAAGGCAGGGGCCCATCTTCAACCCCTTGCTTCTGGCCAGAGGGTACAGTAATCTCGGGCTTGGAAGGGGGAGCAGCAGCAGCAGAGCGGTCTGGCAGAGCCGTCCCTGTGATGCTGGACGTGCCTGCAGCTGCTGCTGCCGCTGCCTCTGCCGCTGCTGTGGCTGCAACGGCCGCAGCAGTGGCAGCGGCAGCCACAGCAGATGTGACGCTGGGCGCTGGAGAGGCCTTGGTGACAGACTTGCGTCGCACAGGCTGCACGGGGATCCCCGCAGGGCATGATGGCAAGTGGAAGGGGATGGGATGATGGGAGGTGGGAGGCGATGGGATGACGGGAGGTGGAAGGGGATGGGATGATGAGAGGTGTGAGGTGATGGGGTGATGGGAGGTGGGAGGTGATGGGATGACAGGGAGTGGAAGGTGAAAGGCGGCGAGAGATGAGGGAAGGGGGAAAGAAAGCAACAGGTGAAGATTGTGTACGAGAAGCAGGAACGACAAGCAGGATGAACATTGATGATAACGGCTCTGTCTAGCAGCAGAAGGCATCATTCACGGGCAATTGCCTACCTTGGCCCGCTTCTGCTCCTCCCCTGAATCTCCCCCTGCTGCCACGCCAGCAGGCTCCCCAGCTGAGACCATCTCCCCATTCGCCACAGGCACATCTCCCCCCTTCCCGTCCTCCCCATCTGCCTTGGCAACTGCTGCCCCTGCTGCTACTGATGCCGGCTGAGTCGGCTTGGATGCGGCAGAGGCACGCAGCTGCTTCAGGTCCTTCTGTGGCAGGGAGACCAGCGGAACATCGATGGATGGAGTGGGGAGGATGAGGGGGTGACATGAGACGAGTCACGAATGGAACGAAACGGGATGGGTGGGAGGAGGGAGTACACAACAGATGATGGTACCATTGAGCAGGGGCGACTGGGGTGGGGGAGGATGAGAACTAAAGCAGAAAAAACTGGAGACGGGTGGATTAGCTGAGGATAGAAGGACTGGAGGGGCGGAAACAGGATAAGGAGGACGAAAACTATGGGTACACGGAACACCATGTAATGAGCGGGGAAAGATTGATGTGAAAGGCTGTGTTGCAGACCTGGAGGGACGAGTTGAGGGTGCGGATGCGCGCAAGCTCCAGCTCCAGAGACTGGAGCTTAGCCGTCTCCTGCTGCTGCTAGCACACACACAGTGGCATGCACAATGGTGGCACACACATCAGATATTGGTGGTGCGCCAGCGTGAACTTTAACAACAGCGCACAACAATTTAGGGGGCTATGGGCGACAAGTGTGAGTGGGGTAGGGTGCGGGGAGAAGGGTTAAGATATGGGAAGAAGGCCAGAAAGCCAGGGGCAAGAAGAAAGAGGTACGCTGGGTAAGTATGGAGGCCCTGCCAGGGTAGAGCAAAATGGCAGCACTGCCCTAGACACAACAGCAACCAACAGAAACAGTCCTGGTACAAGAATCAGCTACTACATACAGCAGTGGCTAGCTGCGCCTTGGTTCCACTGAGCTCCTTCTGTGCCGACGCCAGCAGCAGCTCTTTGGCAGAGACCTGCACGCGCACGAGGAGCAGTGAGAGGTGCAGAGAGGTGCTGAGGGCGTGGCAACAGGAGGGAAAGATCCGCACGAACAAGGCAGGCAGAAGGTGACAGACTGTGGACGGCTTAGAAGGGAGGCAACACATTCAGCACAAAAAGAACCACATGATTCATCAAAGCTGCTCACTTGCTCTTTCCTGTAAAACCAACTCCAATCCCCGTTCCCCTGCCCTCTCACCAACCCCACTCTCCATGTTCCATCGCACCTGCTGCTTGTGCTTGCTCTGTGCGTCCTGCAGCCTCGCCTCGGCCTCATTGAGCTTCACCCGCAGCCGCCTGCCCTCATCCGCGCGTGCCCTCAGAGCCGCTAGCTGCCCCTCCAGAGCCACCTCCCTAGCCGACTTGCCCTTTCCAGCGGCCTCTCCAGCTGCCGCTGCAGCAGCAACGCTGGCTGCGGTTGGCGCGGCTGCAGCAGCAGCAGCAGCAGGGGCTGCAGCGGCCGCTGCCTGCATCTGCCTCTGCTGCTCCTCGTGCAGCTGCTGCTGCTGCTTCGCCATAGCTGCTTGCAGGTCCGAGAGCTGGTTAGCGAGCAGTGAGTTGTCCTGCATCAGATTGTGCACCTGAGGGAGAGGGGCGAGGGTGGGCGCATGGCAACAGCAAGATAGTGGTGTATGGCACACGTGCATTCTCCCAGGTTGCGCCGCAGTGGCATGGAAACAGCAAGAAACACATAACAGGGGTACCACAAAGGCAATCACGCAACACAAGGTGACAGTAAAAGAATGCAGAAAGAAAGAATGAAATAAAAGAAAGGCGACAAAAAAAAACAACAAAGCCACGAGAGGTTGAGAGCACACAGACCTGGGCCTGAAGCTGCTGCACCTCCCCCACGTGCTGCGTCTGCATCTCCTGCACCTGCCCCTCCACCTGCGCCTGCAGCTGCGCCTGCATCTGCCTAGCCATCTGCTCCTCCTGCACCTGCGCGCGCAGCTGCCCCTTCTCCGCATCCCCCGCCTCCACCTGCGCCACCAGCACCGCGTTCTCCCTCTCCCGCTGCTCCAGCAGCCCCTTCAGCTCACCTAACCATGCCTCCAGCCGCCCCACCTCCTCCTCTCTCCCCGCCACCTGTGCGCTAAGCCCCTCAACCTGCTGCTGCGCCACCGCCACCTTCCCCTCCGCCTCCTCCGCCTTCCGCGCAGCAGCTTCAGCCCTGGCCTCGCTCTCCATCGCGTGCACCTGCTGCTGCTCCAGGGCTTCCGTCAGGCGCCCCACCCTGGCTTGCAGCTCCGCCAGCTCATGCCCCCGTCGCACGCACTGGCTCTCCAGCTCCTGCCGCCTGCACTCGAGCTCCTTCACCTTCTCCTCCGTCTCCGATCCCTTCTTCGCCTCATGCAGCCGCTTCTGCTCCTCCTCCCGCCACCTTAGCTCCCTCTCCTCCATCTCCTCCGCCCGCCGCTTGAGCGCCTCTGCCTCTGCCTGCAGCCGCGCCACTTCTTCCTCCAGCTCCCCGATTCTCCTCCTGCTGCTCTCCGCGTCTTTGCCTGCTGCCTTGTCCTTCTCCCTTGCCTCCTCCGCCCACTTGCTCTCTGCTGCGGCCTTCTCACGCCTGGCCGCCTCCAAGTCTGCCCTCACGCGACGAAGCTCCTCTTCCAGAGCTGACGCCTGCTGCTTACTCTTCTTCTTCTCCTCCTCCACCACTCCCTTCCACTTGGCCGCCTCCTTCTTCCACCCCTCCTCTCGAGTCACCAGCGCTGCCAGTTCACCCCTCAACTTCTCCCCTTCCTCCCTCAGTTTCTTCTCCTCACCCCTCAGTCTCTCGCCCTCCTCTTTCAATCTCTTCTCTTCGCCTTTCAATTTCTCCGCTTCCTCCCTCAGCATGCCAGTCTCACCTGACAGCCGCCCCACCTCCTCCTCCAACTCCACGATCCTCGCCCTCTTCGCCTCCTCCTCCTTCCTCCTCTCTTCCTCTCGCCTCTTCTCCTCCTCCTGCTGCTCCTTCCCTCCCTGCAGCGACTCTGCAGCAGTCACCACCACAGTCGCGTCCACAGCCGACACTGCACCAGCACTCTCCCCGCCCACCCACTCCCCCCCTCCTTCTCCCCACGAGCTCGCGGAAACCAGCGCGGAGGTGCCCTCGCCCTCACCATTAGCTGCACCAGCGGCAGCAGCCTTTCTAAGCTTCATCCCCGCCGGCCCGGCTGCCCCCCCCATCGCCGCCGCCAACCGCGCATCCGCCCGCGCCCTCTCCTCCTCCAACTCCCGCTGCAGCGCGTCTATCTTCCCCTCAAGCTCCGTGCGCAGCGCCGCCAACTGCTCCTCCGCCATCTTCTCCGCGGCGGCTTCCGCCTCCGCGGAAAGCCGCGTTTCTGTCTCCACCAGGTCCGCCCAGGTGCCAGACCCCATCCGCCCGCTCGGCTCCTCATTTTCCCCAACGCCCGCCACAACTGACGAGGGTAGCAGCTTCCCCGCCAGCTTCCTCTCCTGGGATTTCCCGCCGATTCCGCCCAGCCCCGCCAAGTCCGCGGACGCGCTTATCATCTCGCTCGCGCCATCCACGGAGACTGTACCCGCGCCCGCGGCGGCGGATGCTTCTCCGCCAACCAGCCCGCTCGCGCGGCCTTCCGCGAACTCCTGCGCGAGCTTCATGGCGACCTCCGCGCTGAACTTGGCGGATTCCGCGGCTTTCTCCGCCTCCACCGCCCGCGCCATGAGCAGGCGGTTCTCCTCCTGCAGCGCTGCGAGCTCCTCCTTTGCGCGCACCGCGTCGTCTTCCGCCAACGCTGCGCGCGCAACAGCATCACCAGACTCCGCCGCCACCACGCCCTTGACCTCCTCCTCCTGCTCGCCCTTCCTCGCGCCGCTGGGTGTGCGGGGGGACTCCGGGTGCGCGTCGAAGGGGGAGGCGCCCGCGAACTCCATGAGCGCAACGCGCTTGGCGCTGGACTCGGGGAGCATGAACGCGCGCTCTATGCGCATGTTGAGGCGCAGCAAGGGGAACCTGGCGGTAGGGAAGCGACAAGCAAGGGGGTCGAGCAGAGAGCGTGAGGGAGGGGAGGAGGAAGGAGGGGGGAGTTTGGGGGGGGGAGGAGTGGGGGGGAGTGGAAGGACAGGGACTCAGGTAACGAGAGAGAGTGGGTGGGTCGTGGATCGAAGGGCTCGCGACAGGTGGAGCGTGCGTGCAACGCAAGCGGAGAGAGAAGCTCAAGTGAAAGCTCAAGCGTGACACTCACTGGCGGTTCTGGAGCGAAAAGAGAGGAGGAGGGGGTTCTGCCGGCGCCCCTCCAGGCGGTGCTTTCGCCGGAGACGACTGCACGCTGCGGTTCACCTGCGATCGCTCCACCTGCCAGTGCTCCCACTGCGGCCAGCGAAACGGGCCAGCCAACGGGAAGCGAATGGGAAGCGAGCCAGGGAGAGCGAGAGAGCCAGCGAGAGCGAGAGAGAGCGAGAGGCACGGAGATGGGCGGAAGGGAGAGGAGATGCACCATCAGGGCGGGAGGAGCCGGGAAGGGAGAGGTAGCGCTGTGAAAGCCAGAAAGCGGGGAGCAGGAGTTGCTATTCGGAAGTGCAAAAACTAGAGCGTGACACATCATTCGCAGCAAGCAAGATCGGCCAATGAGACGGGTGTCGGGAGAAGGCGAGGCGGATGCAGACGCTGCAGGAGGAAATGGGATGCGGATGCAGATGAGGATGCTGATGCAGATGGGGATGCAGATGGGGATGGGGATGCAGATGAGGATGCTGATGCAGATGAGGATGCAGATGGGGATGGGGATGCAGATGAGGATGCTGATGCAGATGAGGATGCAGATGGGGATGGGGATGCAGATGAGGATGCTGATGCAGATGAGGATGCAGATGGGGATGCTGATGCAGATGAGGATGCTGATGGGGATGGGGATGCAGATGAGGATGCTGATGCAGATGAGGATGCAGATGAGGATGCTGATGGGGATGAGGATGCAGATGAGGATGCTGATGCAGATGAGGATGCAGATGGGGATGGGGATGCAGATGAGGATGCTGATGCAGATGGGGATGCAGATGGGAATGCGGATGCAGATGCAGATAGTTATGCAGACGCCGATGTGAATGCGGATGCGGATGCGGATGCGGAGGCTTGACGCTGACGTACCGTCTTGAAGTTATAGTTCCCCGCGCGCATCTTGAGGTCCTTACCCGACTGCATGATCTGCTCCGGGCAGATGGGCACACGCGGAGACAAGATGACAGGAGGAAGTTAGGGAAGATCGGGAAACGAGAGGGGGGGAAGGAAGCGAAGGCGAAGGCGGCTAGGCCCTCAGCCAACTGCAAACTGCCCATCGCAGATTAGTTCGTCTGTGTAAGATCGGCACATCAGTGTGCTTCCCGATCAGTGCAATTTTCAGTTTCGTTCCAGCATCCCTTCAACCCGTTCACCTTGCCATCCGCAGCAACAGAGCGGAAGCCGAAGTACCGCTTGCAATCAGACTGAAGAACGACCAGGATGGCTTCTGGCGGGTACGAGCTGCGAGCACGGCACACGGATGGTTCGACAATACAATAGTGCTTGGGGTCAGAGTCAGAGTCAGAGTCATGTAGGAAGCAAATTGAAAAGGTGATGGCATGTCAACACAACATCAATCATGCAAGCTCATGAGCATGCCATTATGCTTATGGTGATACTGATGATGGCTCTAATGCCATCCCGTCGTCTAATGCCGGTCCTGCTTACTAGTCTGACTGCCATTGCGCCATGCAGAACCGACCGACCTTTCGGCGAATGGAGCATCGTCCGCGACGAAGTTCCACTCGCGACCGCCTTTCTCAGGACGCATGCGATACAGGCGACCATCCGGTGTCGCAAGGATGACCAGATCGCCCAGCTGCAAGTGGCGGGTGATTCGGAATGGAGGATAACGGACACGTGGGTATGGATCGGAACGCGGCAAGTAGCACTGGGAAGAAGAAATTTAAAAAGATATCGTACTCAAATAGGCGTCGAGAATTGCACTGGTAAGGGAGAGAGTGTGGCGATAATGATCGCAGTGAGAAACGAACAGAGCCTAATTGAACCAGCAGCGATCATGCTTCTACAGTGTTGGGACAACAGCACGGGGACGGCAACCTACCTTGATGTTGTCGACTGTAGTCCCCATTTCTGCACCTTAGAAACTAGCTCCGTCTGAGTGCTGAACAATATAATCGCGAAGACCAGTTTCCAAGTCTAACTACACGTACAGAAGTACAAGTGCTACGGAGATTTTTATGTCTCAGATCTCTCAGCATCTGATTCCTGCCTGCTCGGCGTGTGGTAGGTGGGTGTCGTCTGATCTCAAGTGCTACAATATCAAACCAGCGACCTGAGAGACCAGGGACGTGAGCGGCCGAGTGAATGGTCCAGAGCAGGGCACACGTTAACAGGGTAATTAATCTGACTTAACTGAAAATCCAAGAGTTTGTTTCGGCCAACCTTGTGTTTTCTAGGGCTTTGTTCAAGCCAGCCCTGAGAGAATCACGGGGATTTATCTACTGACCCGTAGGAATCCGGGGAGGTTTTGAGGGGGCCTGGACATCTAGTTGCCTCCAGGGGGTGGTGGATTCTGTCGAACTTCCCGTTCTTCCCTTTCACCGGTAGCCCCACTTTGCTCTTCCCATTTTCCCTTAGTTAAGCGGTTGGTTTTGAAATAAGCTGCCAGTAACAATTGTTCACGCCACTCAAACTCGCCCCGTCCCTCCCACCAAACCCCTTTTCTTCCCAGCCCCCTGGCCTAAGTATAGCAACTTCACGTGCGTGATTCATCTGCAGCATAGGTGCTGGTGAGGGTGCGGGATTCCCACCCCGAAGTCGCCCACTGGTACCCTCACTATTCTGTCCAGCAAAGATGGGTTATAACCTATCAGGCCTGTTTGGTTAGCACGAGCCCTGAAGGATCAGAGTAAATTTCTTACGAGGACGGATTTTACAGGGCGATTTTCCGAGGGGCCCGGATCGTCCGAGATGGCGAAAAACCTAGCGAGAGCCCTGGTCCAGAGCAGCCATCACATCTCAGGATCACATCTCTCGCCATCGTCACCGTCCATTACTGTCACATCTCACCGCTTTCTATCCCACCGCTTCACCCCCCAAACTGCGTGCTCCGCACCACAACCTTCTAGCCACTCGAACAAGGGGCCGGGTGAGATCGGGGGAGGATGAAACAGTCGGCGCCCAACAAATTTGGCGCAGGACAGGACGCTTTGTCACTCCCCTGAACCTTGGGAAGCTCGCACGGGGGATCTTGGAGAACATTTGATTGGTTCTTGGCCTACCCGTCTGCGGTTTGCGTCACCTACGAAGTTCCCCTGGCGTTTTTGGATGACGTTCACTTGGTGGGACCCGAAGCTGCCTCATGATGACCGAACATGTTTGGTTCGTACGTTACTGTATTTCTCGAGGCTGCTGACAGTGTCAGACCAGGTCCGGCTTGGCCTGACGAAGCCCGTTTGGCGCGCAGATCAGGCACTGTGAACCAGCTAAGCCAAACACCCTCATTCGCGTCAAAATCTTATGGTCCAGAGCAGTACATTAGCTGACAGGGTGCTACGAATAAGGGAATTTATTACTCATATTCATGATGCATGCAAGGTCAAATTAAACACTATCTAATGACAATGCTCAACCGGGTAAGCACATCTTAGGAGAAATACTACCTCACAAACAATTAATGCTTTCATTTACTTCAGCACCTGCACCAACTGACTCTACCTTTACTAGCAGCACATGACGGGATCTTACCCAGCCCGCAGAAATCAGAGGCTGTCCAACGAACGCTTTAGCTCAAGGTTGACCCCTATGTCCCCACACATCCCCCTCCCCCTCCCCCTCCCACCCCTCTCCCCTTACAGCTTCATTTCATGGCTAATATAAACATCAGAGAGTGTACCAGGGACGCTCCTCCGCCATGGCCACGGTCATGCCCTCCAGGTCCTTGCTCAGGTGCACTTGGCACCCCAGCCTGCTGCTGCGCGCCACCTGTCCGTCAGTTGCCACCTGGCGCAGCCGATCCTCCTCTGCCTGCGTCCGCGGTGGCAGCTTGTCCTGCCACTCCTGCGCTATGGACACTGGGAATGGGTGGATGGGGTTGGGGTGAAGGGGATGGGTGGGTAGAGGAGGGGGGGAGGAGGCAAATAGGGGAAGAGTGGAGCGAGAGTGAGTTTGGGGCAGCAGGTTAAAGAGTGTGTGCAAGAGTTAACGAGAGACGATAACGCAGGTAGTGAACATTCATGACAATGCTTGCAGCCAGAATCCAGCAAAGGGGGGGAACCGATGTAGGGGGTGACCACGTGCGTGGCATCCAGCTGGACAAGCGATCCTGAATTCCAGCTGTCAATGGCAGAGCGCCATAACCTATCCCTTATGCACGCGAACCTTGCCTGGCGGGACCTGACACGTGTTGCCGCCTGATCGCCTGAGTGCCTGATCTCCTGTAAGCATGTGCACGAATGCCCGCCCGCATGCTCGCACGCACCTTGGCAGTTGCCGTTGCACGATTCGAGCTCCTCCAGCTGGTGCCGCTCCGCGCTCTCGACCTTGGCGCGGATCAGCGCGGACAGCAGCGAGCGCCCCGCCAGCCCCGTCACCGCGTGCCGCTGCCCGTCCGCGTCGATCGCGGTAAAGTGCACTGCGCGATCCGCCACGCTCGGCGCAGACGAGGCGGAAACAGGCGCGACTGGGGGGGACGGCGCGACGGAGGATGCGGCTCGCCGCGGGAGGGGGAGGAAGGAGTCGAGGAGCGGGAGAAGCCGCGGAATGGCGCGATGCGCGGTGCTGGAGGTTCTCTGGGCCGCGCGGAAAAGCAGCGCCATTGCGGCGTAGTTTGGGAAGTGGGGTGCGGATGCGGGAGGGTGGCGGGGGAGAGGCGGGAAGGTTGGCAGGACAGGGCGGAAGGGAGTGGCGGAGTTGATGGGTACACGTAGCGAGGTGGAGGAGACTGGAAGAGGAGGCACAAAGGGGGAATGTAAAGCGTGTGCGCTGTAAGACACTTCGTTTCCATACCTTTACCGGCTGGACTAAAGAGTACTTGCTTCAATATCAAATTAGGGTGTGCCAAAATAAATATGAATAAAAAAACTATCATAGCCAAATAATCGCTACGGCAGCCTCAGCTGCAGGATCCCTAATAATCGCTACGTACCAGTCAACACATAATCGAAAATGATAGAAGCGCAATAGATATGCGACCTGTCAGTCATGTTCATAAATAAAGAAAAATATCTCCAGGTGGTGAGGCCTCTGTAGCTAGATAGCCGTCAAGTCAAGCCCCTCATCATGTGGGGGCTAGAGAGGGTCAGCCAAGACCAAGCGAAGGGGAGATGGCTTGGGGTGCTGGGCCAGTGATGTGCGTTGTGGTCGAATGGTCATCACTGGAGTGGGAAACACACCGAAGGACAGCGGGGATGGGCAGAAGGGAAAGAGGCAGCCCCCGTTGGGAAAAGATGCGAATGACGAATGCAGAAGCACCATGGATTGACAAGCCAACCTTAGACAGACAGACTGACAGACAGCACAACACAGCAACAGGGGTCATGAAGCCAGCAGTAAACCCCCATCCCAATAACTCTCAACACCAATAACTCTCCACACCCACCACACCTGTCCAGAGGTAGTCCTTACATCAGCTGATGTGCCATCCGCGTTCTGATTGGACTCTGGCAATCCTGCTTCGCCTGCTGCTGCCGCTGCTGCTGCTGCAGAAGCAGCAGGAGCAGTCCCAGCAGTCCCAGCAGTGGCAGCAGTGGCATTGGCAGCAGCAGCTGCAGCCAGGGAGTTGGAAAGCGACACCTGCAGCGAAAGATCCTGCAGACCACCACTCATCCTCGCTAAGAGCATATCCATTAGCATCTCCCCGTCCTCATCCAGCCCTTCGAACTGGGCCGCCACCCCCAGCGGGCCCATCACCTCCTGCCCTTCCGCTCCCTCTGCTCCCCCCCTCACCCTACCCTCCACATTCACCGACCCCCCTTCCATAACCACCTCTTCCTTCACATTATTCCAACCCCCCTTGTGCTCTCCCCCTGCATCTGCTCTACCCTCTCCTCCTCCACCCCCTCCGCCATGGCTGCCGCCTGAAACAGCAGCACCAGCAGCAGCGGCTCCGCTCCCTCCACTCCCCGTCTGCCCTTCCTTGGGCCCCTGCTGACGGAAATACTGAGCCAGCAAGTCATGGTTACCACTAGAGGCGTCCTTCCCCACTCCTGCTCCCGCCTCACTCCCATCCCCTCCCCCCGCTCCTCCTGCGCCTTCTCCACCCCCTGCTTTCATCAGCCCTTCATCCTTCCATCCAGCCCCGTTCCCCCCTGCGCTTGACATCTCCCCACTCCCCCGCGCGCCCTCCAGCCGCCTGCCTCCTCCCAATGCGCCCCCGCCTGCTCCCCCTGCCGCCAGTGCTGCTGCTGCAATGGCGGTGGCTGCTGCCGCTGCTGCTGCTGCCTCCGCTTCCTCATCAGGCATGTCCTGTTGTGGGGGGGGGGGTTGGGGGAGATGGATGGGGAGATTAAGGGAGGGAAGGAGGGAGTGGAGGGAAGGAGGGAGTGGAGGGAAAGGATGGGGGGATTGAGGGGGGGGGAGAGGGGATGACGGGGGGGTTGTTGGAGTTAGATCAGATAGACTGCAGTACATGAGCAACAGGGCGGCAGGAATGTGCATATGCATGTTGAGCATGCACCTGCTCAAGTGCATATGCGTACGTACGTGCATGGGCATAGGTGCATGGATGTGCGTGCATGGACATATGTGCACGGCATATGTGCATGTGGGTGTGCATGGGCATGTGAGCATGGGCAACGCAGCATGAGTTTGCAGTGGAGAGAGAGAGACAAGGAACTCGCACTGCAAGATACAGTACGCGCATGCATGCAGCAGTGGCACTTGCTCGCCCTCAACCAGACAAGATCGGGGAGAGAGAGAGACAAGGGGGGAGCGAGAGAGAGATGGCGTGAGGAAGCCCTGTCTCCAGCCGACTGCCGGGCAGTGCTGGAGCCTCTGGTGGAGTACCTGTAGGCAGTTCAGCTATATATGCCTTGTACTCACCTGACTTGCTTGTCTAGCTGTACCCAAGTTTCAGAAAGAGACAGACCACTTGAGAGAGGCGGCGTCAATGAGGAGATAAGGAGGCGCGGGGATGGGAAGGGAGAGAGAGGGAGCTGACCTCAAACGCAGAGGGGTCGCCAAGGGAGGCGAGGTTGCCATAATCCATTGCTGCGAGCTTGCTAGACAGCAGCTGAGGGGAGGGAGGGGGACGTTGAGGAGGGGGGGAAGGAGGAGCGAGAGAGGGGACGAGAGAGATAGGGCAAGTTCAGGAGTAACACTGTGGAGAGCGGAAGCAGCGGGGGGGGGGGGGGGGGTTGTTACTGTACGAGGGTGGCGGTGTACATGGATGTGTATGTGTCGCCGTGCCAAGGCATATAAAAGCAGTTGGTCCTCGTGCACCTCTCATCATGCACCTCTCATCATGCACCTCTCATCATGCACCTCTCATCATGCACCTCTCATCATGCACCTCTCATCATGCACCTCTCATCATGCACCTCTCATCATGCACCTCTCATCATGCACCTCTCATCATGCACCTCTCATCGTGCACCTCTCATCGTGCACCTCTCATCATGCACCTCTCATCATGCACCTCTCATCATGCACCTCTCATCATGCACCTCTCATCATGCACCTCTCATCGTGCACCTCTCATCGTGCACCTCTCATCGTGCACCTCTCATCATGCACCTCTCATCATGCACCTCTCATCGTGCACCTCTCATCGTGCACCTCTCATCATGCACCTCTCATCATGCACCTCTCATCGTGCACCTCTCATCGTGCACCTCTCATCGTGCACCTCTCATCGTGCACCTCTCATCGTGCACCCTCATTCACCCTCGTGAACCCCCTCGTGCACCCGAGCCGAAGCCGACATCCTCCTTGTCCTCCTCCTCCGTTGAACCCCATCTCACCTCGACCTGTAGCTGCAGCGAGCGCACGTAGTTGATGATCTCGTCCAGCATCATGGCCTTGCCAGTCACCTACTCCCAGTGGGCGCGGGAGGGGGGAGGGGGAAGGGGAGGGGGGGGGGGGGGGTTTGGGGGGAGAAGGGGGTGGGGGGAGGGAGGGAGGGGGGGTTGGAGCATTGCGGTGGGGAAGAGCAGTGGGGTGCAGCACACAGCTGAGATAGTGGACGGGTTTACCCGAGAAGAGCCTGCTATGCCAACAGCGAACGGGTGTGAGAGGAGAGGAAGAGAGTGTGGGGGTATGAGGGGAGGAGGAAGAGAGGGTGGGAGTATGAGGGGAGGAGGAAGAGAGGGTGGTGGTGGATTCACCTTGGCACAGCTGGGGACAAGGGCCTGCAGCACCTTCATGCGATCGCTGATCTTCTCTCTCCGCATCTGAATGCACATGCATGCATGCACAGCCACATGCACATGCACATGCACATGCATGCACACACAGCCACATGCACAACCACATGCACAGCCACATGCACATGCACATGCACATGCATGCACACACAGCCACATGCACAACCACATGCACAGCCACATGCACATGCATGCACACACAGCCACATGAACAGCCACATGCACATGCACATGCATGCACACACAGCCACATGCACAGCCACATGCACAGCCACATGCCCATGCATGCACACACAGCCACATGCACAGCCACATGCACAGCCACATGCCCATGCATGCACACACAGCCACATGCACAGCCACATGCACAGCCACATGCCCATGCATGCACACACAGCCACATGCACAGCCACATGCACAGCCACATGCCCATGCATGCACACACAGCCACATGCACAGCCACATGCACAACCACATGCACAGCCACATGCACATGCATGCACACACAGCCACATGCACAGCCACATGCACAGCCACATGCACATGCCCATGCATGCATGGACAGCCGCGCACACGCATGCGCATGCACGCACAGGCACAGCGTGGGGAATAGACGGATGCACACGCATACAACAAAGGTGAAGTCACATAAGGTCCACACTGCAGTCAGGGGTCACACGGCCACATGACAGGGGTCACACGGCCACATGACGGGGATCACACGGCCACATGACGGGGGTCACATGTACACACACATGAGAGCAGCTTGACTGATAACCTGACCCAACCAGCCCGCACCAATCTGACCCAGCCTGCTACCAGAAATTTGAATTGATCCAACTTCCTAGTCATAGCAAGCGGCAAGCAAGCCAGACAGAGCCACTCACCCTCTCTGCAATGCTGTGGCTGTCCGTTGCTTGCCCCCTCCTCGCCCGTACATGCACCACCTCCCTCTCCTCCCCCCACCCATCGTCCCCCCACCCATCTCCCCCAGCCTTCCCCGCACCCCCACTGCCAGTCCCCCCCGCGCCCCTCTCAATCCCCAGCCCTTTGCGCCCTCCCCCCACATGCCCCCTCGCCCCCGCACTCAGACTGCCCTGCCCCCGCATTATGGCCTCCCCCCCCCCTTGCTCCCCCTCCGCCATCTCCACTTCCTTCCCCCTTCCATCCCCCTCCCCTTGGGACGGATTCCCAGGGATCTGTGGAGAAATGGGGGGAGCGGGGAGGGAACGGGGGAGACGGGTGAGAAGGCGAGGGTAGGGAAACATTTTTGAGTCGACTCAAAACGAGATGACTTTTGAGTCGACTCAAAAGTCATCGCGAGGGTAGGGAAACAGGGAGAGGTAAGGTGGGTGAAGAGAGGGGAAGTGGGGGGAAGTGGGGGGAAGTGGGGGGAAGTGGGGGGAAGTGGGGGGAAGTGGGGGGAAGTGGGGGGAAGTGGGGGGAAGTGGGGGGAAGTGGGGGGAAGTTGGGGGAAGTGGAGGGAAGTGGGGAGGTGGGTGGGTGGGAAGTGAGGGTGTTTGGGTTTGTAAGTCAATGGTCTGGCAACGCACTGTTCAAGCACTGTTCAGTGCGTGCTGACTTGAGAAACACGCTTCCTTCCTCCTCACTCAAACCCCTCCCCTTGTTTGTTTGCTTCGCCAGCCCTACCAGCTACCCTCGTCCCCTTTTCCCCTCCATTCATTCCTCGAATAGGCCCCAGAATGCCACCGGGAACAGGACTTTGCATCCCTTCCAGTTCCCATGCTCCCCCATGATCCCCGAGAGCCCCAATGTATTCCACGTAGGCTACCCCCCTGCCGCCCCTGCCATATCTGCCCCCCTTGCCCCCCCGTGCCCCACCTGCCCCCCCTGCCCTCCCTGTTCCCCCCTGCCCCCCCTGTTCCCCCCTGCCCCCCCTGCCCCTCATGCCCTCCCTGCCCTCCCCTGCCCCCCATCCCCCCCGTGCCCCACCTGCACCCCATGCCCTCCCTGCCCCCACCTGCCCCCCCTGCCCCTCATGTCTCCCGTGCCCACCCTGCCCCCAATGCCCCCCCTGCCCCCCCCCTGCCCCACCTGCCCCATGTGCGCCATGACATCGGATGCAGTGGCGGGCAGGCGGCGCCTCTTGCGGTTCAGCAGCGCCTGCAGCATGTCCGCCTCCCCGGGTATCTCTGGGGGCGGGAGGAAGCAGGGGGAGAGCCGGGGGGAGAAGGGTGGGGGGTGGGAGGGAAGGGGAGGAGGAAGGAGGGGACGTTTGGTGGGAGAAGGGGGAGCGAGGGGGATGGGAAGAAAAGACGGGGAGAGGGAGGGAGTTAAAGAGGGCCGGAGGGAGGGTGGAAGAGGGGAAGGGAGCATGTTCGCGAAATGAGTCTACTTTTGAGGCGCCTCAAAAATAGACTCCTCACGGAGGGAGGGTGGAAGAGGGGAAGGGAGCATGTGCGCGAAATGGGGGGTGAGGAAGGGGGTTTTTGAGGCGCCTCAAAAATCGAAATGGGGGGTGCGGAAGGGGGGAGAGGGGGAGGAGGAGAGGGAGGAGGGGGAATAGGGGAAGAGGCCAGGAGAGGGCAACAGAACAAGAGCCCACCGGCCATGGCAGCAGCGAGGCCTTGGCCTTGCTTCAAGGGCGGGCAGCTGCTCGTTCTCGACAGCTGATTATGCAGCGCTGGCCCCCCAATCTTCTTCCTATGCTGCTGCTGCTGCTGTTGGTGCTGCTGCTGCTGCTCCAACTGTCCCCCAGCGCTGTTCTCCTCCCCCACGCTCACCAACGAACTCGCCCCACTGCTCGACTGGCCGCCACTCGTCGCACTCGCCCCCCCTCCCCCTCCCCCCAGTGCTTTCCACAGCATAGCCCGCCTGTCCACCTCTCTCCCCCCGCTGGACGTCCGCTGCAGTGACGACACCTGTGCGCCCAGCCCCATGCGCCCCCCTGCGCCGCCTGCTAGCCCCGCCATTCCGCCTGGCCCGCCCCCCACCCCCCAGGGGGGGTAGCCTTGCAATAGCTGTGCTGCTGCGCCCTTGCCCCCTGCCAAGGCTGCGATGGCTGCTGACGTGGCTGCGGCGGACAGATGGCCTGATCCCGATCCCCCTCCAGGTGGGGCTGGGGGAGGCCACAACTGTGAGGCTCCCCCACCCCCCCCTCCCCCTCCCCCTCCGCCCCCACCAGCAGCAGCAACAGCAGCGGCAGCAGCAGCAGCCGCGGAGTTACTGCCCATGCTGGCCGCGCTGGCTGCAGCAAGGGCTGCAGCGGCGGCGTTAGGGTTTCCTTGCGCGGATGCCTCCACAGCCAGGCACATCTGCTCCAGCTCGGTTAGATTGCCCAGAGGGGGCGCGCTGGACGTGCGAGCTAGCGTGTTGGCTAATTCACGCGCATTCATACCAAGCACATTTAGATTATACCCCGGGACCCCACCTACTCCCATGCCTCCCATGCCTCCCATGCCTCCCATGCCCCCTCCCACGCCTCCTCCTCCTCCTCCTACCCCCATCCCTGCCCCTGGACCTGTCCCTGCTGCTGCAGCAGCGGCTGCAGCAGCCGCAGCAGCATGGGCAAGAGCAGCAGCGCGTGTGGGGGAGAGCTGGGGGAGAGGGCGGGGGAGCGCACCCCCCCCCATCCCCCCACCTCCGCCCATGTACCCCATTTTCCCCCCACCCCCAATGGATATCATAGCGACGTCCCCTCCCCCATCCAGGCCCCCTTCCCCTTCCGCGATCATTCCCCATGCCTGCCCCATTCCCCCCGCTCCGCCTGCCCCCCCCCCTGCGCCTGCAGCGGCGGTGTGGGCGGCTGCAGCCGCCGCGAGTTGAGAGCCGAAAGCGGCGTTAAGGGATGTGGTGCGACGGCGGGCGAGAGGGGAGAGCGGCGATGGGGAGGGGCGCGTGCGACAGAGGCGCGCAAAGAAGGGCGAGTCCGCGAATGTGGGACCTGGGGTCGGGGATGACGGTGATGAGATGGAGGGGGGGAGAATGATGGTTGGCGGGGCAAGGGAGGTGAGGGAAGTGGGGGATGGGTGGTGTGAAGCTCAAGGTGAAAGTGAATCTAAACTTTTGGTATACGGTACAAGCGGTTCAAGACTCACTGATTCACTTTGCTGGCACGCGGCACCCCAAAAGAGAGCGGAAAGAGGGAAAGAAAAAATCGCAATGCGAGAGACATAACGGGCACTGAAGGCCCGTGTGAGCAGCACGCATACCTGCTGCGCCATGCCCTCTCGGCCCTGCCATGTTGCTTCCCATCATGCCCATCTGCCCTGCGTCCATCATGCCCGAATAATCCGCACCTCCCATCAGGCCACTCTCATCATAACCGACCCCCATCATCCCGCTCATCCCCCCGCTCATCCCCCCATTCATCCCCATCCCTCCCCCTCCCCCACCCATCGGTCCGCCCATTGCCCCACCCATTCCCCCGTACACATCCCCGCCCATCCCTCCACCCATTCCTCCGCCCAAACCAGACGGCCCCAGTCCCCCCGCCATGAGCCCTGCAAGCGACCCCCCACCCTCCATTCCCCCTTCCCCTCCCCCCGCTCCGCCTCCTCTACCGCAGCCAGCGCAGCCGCCGCGCCTGGCGCAAGCAGCTGCAGCTGCGCCACGTCGAGGCTCCGCGTCCGGCGGGGGCCCATGCCTCCGCCCCCGCCCTCCAAACCCGCCGCCGCCGCCGCCGCAGCTGCCGCCGCGCTTCCTAGCGCCATCGGGTTCATTCCGGAAGGTCCCTGCGGCGCCGGGCTGTTGTACCCGCTATTCATCTGCCGCTGCATCGCTGCCGCTGCTGCCGATTGTTGCTGCCGGCCACTACTACCGGCTGCTGCCGCTACTACCGGCTGCTACCACTACTGTCGGCTGCTACCACTACTGCCAGCTGCTGCCAGCCGTCAGCCTTTCCACTCCCCCTTAACTCGCCTTCCCAACACCACACCTCCAGAAATAGTCGTCCCCTGCTTCCCCCTATCTACTCCACCCTCCCTCCTGCCGCTTCCTCCAGGCACGGCCCCTAGCTCAGCCGACTAATCTACTAATCGGCAGCCTTACTACCTCGCGGGACTTCACCACCCGTACCACTTTTCTTTCACGGGTCCTACTTAATCTAACTCGGATGTACAATACCCTATGCCACGCTAACACAGTGTTTCCCACGAGTCTGCTGCTCTCTGTCGCATGCCTGTGGGACGTTGGGAAAGGTCCGAGCGACCAACCGAGCCCTAGCTGACACCATCCATGTGGCGTGGCGAAAACGCGTGCGACGCCGGGTGTCGCACACTGCTGTGTCTGCGACGACGGCCAGCTGCGCCAACAAGGCGCTCTTCTACTTATCAAGAAGGCCGCCTGTTTTGAGACAGCAGGAAGCACGGAGGACAGGGAATGCGAGGAAGGCGTAGGGGCAGGGAAGGAGAACGGGGAAAGTGGTTGATAAAGTGCGGCGATTTACAGACGGATGACAGCGAGAAGGTTTCCACGAACAAGGTCCGGTAACCAGATGATACACGACGTACAAGGGAGGATCAGACGGCACGTGTTGCTGTTGGTGGAACGCGTTGTGAGAGCTCGCTCTTTAACTATGTCTTCTGTCGCAGTTGTCGTCGCGTTTTGAAATTTAGGAAGAAAAAAAAGCGTTAACGCGGATTGAGAACGCGACTAAACGAGGATAGATGGCGCGAGCGATGCACGAGACGACCGAGCAGACCGCATGATTTGATAGTGTTCTATGAAGAAAGTGCAATCTTTCGAGGAAACAAATAGCACAATGACCACACACACACAAAAAAAAAAAAACCTAAACAACGCCAACAGTGTTGCGATATGGTAGGAACGTGCCGACGGGACAAGGGAAATACCAACAAGAAAACTAATATCGTCTTCGGAAGCATCGGGGAGCATGGCTTCTCAACTCCCTGCCTTCCTTTCGAGGGAGGGGAAAAAAACAAAAGACAAAAAACAAAAAAATCTCATGTCTAGAGACGAACCTGGAGCGATGCGGCAGCTTGGCTTGGCTGGTACCAAGCTGAAAATCCCACGGGAAGTCGAAAAGCGCGAGATTGTGGCAGCTTGGATGAAACAATCAGGGAGAGTGTACGAGGGAGGAAAGTCAAGAGTGTTGAGAGATTCGAGGTCCCTCGGCAATCTCAAAATATCATTAGGGATGGATGTTCCCTGAGGGCGTGGTACATGGGTTGTGCTTGGCCTCGAGACCGCAACCCGGTTTGCCCAACTGGCAAAAAACCCAATCCAACCCAACCAAAATCAGCTCAACCCATATTTCACACGCCATGCGACGTTCAGCGAGCTTGGTAACCGTACCTGATTGCGCAACTTCGATAGGTTGCGCATCCCATGTACCACGCGCTGAGGCTGAGAATGGATCGCGGAATCATGGCTACAACAAGGACTAGCAGGCGAAGTGAATGGGTGGAGCCTCGAGATGCACGGAAGGGAGGGGGGAGGAAGTAGGGGACTAGGGTGATGTGCTGAGATGGGCGGGAAAGTGGCCACGGAGGAGACCGGTTTTACTGTTCCTCGAGCTAGCACATTGGTCCTCAGCATAAACATGTACCTCAAGCTAAGAAATTGGACTGAACATGATATCAATCAAAAGTAATTTGGAGATTTTCCTACAAGTCTTCAATGAAGGGATGTACATGTCCTCATCGTGTGCTTTGAATGCACAGGTGGCATGATTGCAAAACACATGCAAACACAAGCTAAAATCCTCCGAGATGTTATAGGCCGTTCAAGTTTTCACTAGTACCTTGTTAAAGTAGCTCTAGGCTAGGATACTAGGCAGGAACAAGGCCGCCATGAATGTGGCGGCGGGGTTTAGCTAGGAGCTGGACGAGAGTGTCGAGAGAGAAGAGGGTTGGATTAGGAAGAGAGGGGAGTACAAGGAGGGGTTTGTACCCCCTACAGAAAGGTTCAGTAACAACCTACCAAGCCTATATTAAATTATAACTTATATAATTTGAACATACCTAACTAGCACTTCCAATGAACATTCGTTCAATGCAGGCCTTCATACACAGGTAAGCTCATGCTGTCGGCCAGGCCAGGCAGCCCAGACGAGACGACCTTCAAAGCATCGCAGCAAAAAGGAATCATCCGCCGTGCCTGCAATCGGCGTTAGAGCACAGGGGGGACGTTAGTGGGCGTTAGTATCGGGAGAAAACAAGGATGAGAGGGAATGGTGGATGGTGGATGGGGAGGAGGGGGAAGGGGTTCAGTCACTGTCATCCCGGTAAGTGTGGTTCTATGGCATACACACTGTAAACAGGACCATGTGTGTGCATGAGCAGCAAACTCTCACCTCTCCCACGCTTCATCCCATCCACGGATACCCTCGATCAACCACCACCACCACCAACCGCACCGTACCGTACCTTCTATTCCAGCTTAGCAGTAGCCCTTCCAGCGTCGCACTGACCCACAGCACTGACCCACGGCGATGCTCGCATTCTGCTGGTTGGAGCGCTGTCAGGTGGGCGAGGAGGGGGAGAGCAGCTTGCGCCATGCATCCAAGCTCCACAAGCCCTATGTGCAGCGCAGGGACGGGGGTGCAACAGGGCGGGAGAAACAGGGAGGAATGGGGAGGGTGGAATGGGGAGGGTGGAATGGGGAGGGGGGAATGAGATTCGAGGCTGGTGGTCAAGGGGTTCACTTAAGTGGCAGGGGTGGACTATGAGGAGACCTATGGGGAGGGGGGAATGGGGAGGGGGAATGGGGAGGGGGGATGGGGAGGGGGGAATGGGGAGGGGGGAATGGGGAGGGGGGAATGGGGAGGGGGGAACGGGGAGGGGGGAATGGGGAGGGGGGAATGGGGAGGGGGAGTGGGGAGTGGGGAGGGGGGAATGGGGAGGGGGGAATGGGGAGGGGGGAATGGGGAGGGGGGAATGGGGAGGGGGGAAAGGGGAGGGGGGAATGGGGAGGGGAGAATGGGGAGGGGGAATGGGGAGGGGGAATGGGGGGAAACAGGGGGGAGAAGGCCAAGAGAGAGAGCGCAAGAGCCCAGGGGTCTAGGGGCGGGGGGGGGACGAGGGAGGACAGTGAGGTTGGGGGTGGGGGGGAGCTGGCGTGAGTACCTTGCTTGACCTGGCGTGAGTACCTTCAAATGGAGTACCTTGCGTGAGTACCTCTCGCTCTTTCTCACCTTCTTCCCATCCCGCCCCTGCCCCTGCCCCTGCCCCTGCGCCTCGTCCGCACTCGCCTCCCCCTGGCTATCCCCCTGGCCATCCCCCTGGCTATCCCCCCGGCCATGCCCCTGGCTCAACCGTCTATCGTGCCTCTGCCCCCTCCGGGGCATGAGAGGCCCGCTCAGCCGCCGCAGCCTGTACCGCCCGCTCATGCCCTCGCCCTCCCTCCCGCGCTCCTCCGCGCCCTCCCTGCCGTGCGCACTGCTGGCAGCAGCATGGGCGGAGAGGCTGCGAGGCCAGCGCTGTGCTGCAGACATACGGGCCACGGCAGGCGGGGGCGAGGGGGACAGCAGAGCGCTGCAAGCACCAGCACCAGCAGCACCAGCAGCACCAGCAGCACCAGCACCAGCAGCATCAGCAGCACCAGCACCAGCACCAGCGAGAGAAGCGGCAGCAGCAGAGTGAGGCGGGTTCTTGGCTGGTGCGCGAGTTTCTACCCGCTCATCCTCCGCCTTTCCCGGCGCATCCGCCCATTCCTCCTCCTCCTCCCCTTCCTCGATCGCACTGACAACCCGCCCCACATCAGTCTCAACTAGCACCCTCTCCTCCTTGCTCTCCACGTCCTTACTCTCCTTACTCTCACCCCTGCCTCGCTCCTGCGAGTGCCTGCCCGACAGCTGCTGCCGGCCCACCATTTCTCTGATCCCTGGCAGGGTTTCTGCTAGTTGTTCCACCATCCTCTCCTCCTCCTCACTCAATCTAGCCCGCGCCGCCAGTCGCTGCAACAGTCTTGCAGGATCCATGGTTATGCTCGCTTTCTCTCCTGCTCTGTCCCCTGCCGCACTGGACGAGGGGGAGGGGGAAGAGGAGAGGGCAACAGCGGCAGAGGAGGAAAAGGAGGAGGAGGAGGAGGAGGAGGAAGGTACACTGGAGGTGGATCGACTGGTAGGGAAGCGGTAGCGCGCTGAGAGCAAGGAGACGGGGTGGGGGTTTGTGGGCGGAGAAGTGGGGGAGGAAGCCGCAGCAGCTGCAGGTGCAGAAGGGCTAGTAGATTCAGCAGCAGCATCTCCAGTAGTGAGTGCTTGGGCATCTCCCTCTGCGTCCGGGGACGAGGGGGGCGAGGGCACAGCACCAACGGCAGCAGCAGCAGCAGCAGCAGCAGTGGTGGCGGAGGCAACAGGGGAGGTGTCAAGGCGCAGCGCGGAAATACAGGAGGGCCGGACAGGGGAGCGCGAGTGGGAGTGAGAGTGGGAGTGAGAGTGGGAGTGAGAGTGAGAGGAGGAGGAAGGGGCGACAGCAGAGGTGGATCGGCTAATGGGGAAGAAGCGGCGAGCCGATGCCAATGGGGAGACAGAGCGTGGGACGAAAGGTGTGACAGTCGGTGAGACAGACGAAGGTGGGGCCGCAGGAGGGGCAGTTGGTGAAAGAGAAGGCGAGATGGACGGCAGGGTGGCGGGCACAGCAGTGGTTGACGGCGGGGACAAGGCAGCGTGAGGGTGTGAGTGCGAGGGGGACGTGGTGCTGTGGCGAGGTGCGTGCGATGAGTGAAACGTGTGCGACGTGTGCAGGAGAGGGAGAGTGAATCGACGCAGGACGCTACTACCAGTTCGGGAGGTTGAGGGAGAGGGAGAGGGAGAGGGGGCACTTTGTGTGGGTTGAGGGGATGTGACAGGGGCAGAAGCAGGAGGAGGAGGTGCTGCAGCAGCTGAGGGAGAGAGATCAACGGCTGTATGCTGCTCAAAGGAAGCACGAGAGTTGGACTGGCTTGCTTGGCTCGCTTGGCTTACTGGAGCGAGTGACTCAAACGTGCTTCCTCCCATGCTGCTGCCTGCATCATCGCCACCTACCCCGGCTTCTCCTCTAGCCCCTTCCTCCGCTACCAACACTGCCATTGCTCCTCCTGCTGCTGCTTTCGCGGCTGCAGCCGGCTCGCCTTCCCCTTGCATCCGTTGCCCTGTGGCTGCAACTGCCCGACCCTCCCTGCCCACATCGCCCACTGGGTGCGCTGATTCCACACCTCCTGCAACAGCAGCAACAGCAGCACCAGCAGCCGCGCTTGCTGTAACATGGGAGGAGGATGAACGAGGGGGAACAGCAGGAGCAGCGGCAGCAGTAGCAGCAGAAGCAGGAGCAGCAGGAGCAAGGGCAGCAGGAGCAAGGGCAGCAGACGCATAACCTTCAGGAGAGTGAGAAGGAGCAGCAGCGGCAGCAGGAGAAGGCGAATGAGGAGGGGGAGTGGTCTCCGTTAGCGTCTGTGCCAATGGCGTCCGTTCACCAACAAAACCACCCACATAGTCACCACCTCCCCCGTTCCCATCCCCATCCCCTACCCCATCTGCATCCCCTGCCCCTGGCCCTGCCCCTAAACCTGGACCTGCCGCTGCCCCTGCCGCTGCCCCTGCCGCTGCCCCTGCTGCATCATCTGTGTGGTCTGCATAGCATGTACCCTCGCTACGCCTCCCCGTCCCTACTCCTCCTCCCCTCGCCCCCATGCCCTTTCCAACACCCTCTGCCTCCCTTCCCCCCACCTCTGATGCGCCCATCCCAGCGCCCCTCCCCTCCTCCGCGCCCGCCTCCCGCGCCCCCCTGCTGCCCGTCCCCATGGGGTCCATGGGCGCGCGCGCAGCAGGCGGATCAGGGGGAGACGCAGCAGAGGGCGCAGAAGGCGCGGGGGGGGTAGGCTCAGCGGCTGGAGCAGGGAGGGCCAGCGCGAGAGCAGCAGAAGGAACGGGTGGGGGCGCAGGGGGGGGAACAGCGGGGGGAGAGGGCGGATGGGGGAGGAGAGGCGGGGTGGAGGGGAGGGGGGAGGGCGCGGCGAGAGGGTGGGGGGGGGGTGAGATAAGAACGGAGGAAACCGCTGAGGCTCCAGCGAGGTGGGATGGGTGGGATGGGTGGGATGGGTGGGATGGGTGGGATGGGTGGGATGGGTGGGATGGGTGGATGGGCGGGTGACAACGCTGGGAGCAGCATGACTGGGGCTGATGGGAGGGTGAATGGAGGAGGAGGGGACGTGGGCGTCAGGGACACGTGGACGAGTCCCAATGGTGCTGAGCTGCGCCTCGAACTGCGGAGGGGAGGAGTGAGAGGGAAGCAAGGGAGGAGGAATGACAACAAGAGAGGATTAGAAGGGGGTGGGGGGTGGGGGGTGGGGGGTGTGGGGTGGGGGGTGGGGGTGGGGGTGGGGGGTGGGGGTGGGGGGTGTGGGGTGGGGGGTGTGGGGTGGGGGTGTGGGGTGGGGGGTGTGGGGTGGGGAGTAATCGGGGAAAAAGGGAGTCAGTGGAAGCTCGTGTCGTGAGTCAGCATAGGGGAATGAATAGAGAGTGGCGGTCAGGTGAGGTCAACAGGGATGACACGACAGACGGGGAGCCATGTGTGCGAGGGAACCCTAACAAGCAAGGTGGCAGCATCGTCATCGCCACCATTTGACAACGCAACATGCCCCCAATCCAACGCCAACGCCAACGCCAACGCCTCACCAGCCTAATACCCTCTCCCCTTCCCCTCTCCCCTTCCCCTCTCCCCTTCCCCTCTCCAGCAAAAAAAAATGCCTCCCCCCCTCTCTGCCTCGTTCTCATGAGTCTCCCTCTCTCCCTCCCTCTCGCTCCCTCTCACCTCGTCTATCTCCTCCAGCTCTCGCTCCATCTGCTCCAGGGAGAAGGGGATAGGGGCTGCCCGCCCCCCTGATGCGCCTCCCCCTGCTGCGCCTCCCCCTGCTGCGCCAACGCGCTGCCTCTCCCGCCCGTGTTCCGCCGCCGCGCCAGCCCTTGCCGCCACCTCTTCTGCCCGCGCCTCCGCGCCAGGGTCAGAAGGAGCGCAGGACGAGGCGGAGGCGGAGGTGGAGACGGAGAGTGAGCGCGGCGAAAACGCCTTGCGCTCGTCGGAGTAGCGCGAGAAGGACGCGGAGAATTTGAACCCGCGCTTATGCTGCCCGCCCGCCACCACCGCAGCCGCCGCTGCTGCTGGCCCGCCGCTCGCGCCCGCGGCAGCGCCGGATGCTTCGCCCTTACCGCCACCGCCGCCGCCACCACCACCAGCAGCAGCAGCAGTCGCGTCACTGGCGGTGGTGCCGCTGGCGCTGCCGGCGCTGGCGCTACTGGTGATGGTGGTGATGGTGGCGGTAGCCGCGGCGGCGCTTCTAACGGTGGTGATGAGCGAGCGGAGCGCGAGGCGCGGACTGACGGGCAGCGCTTGCTTGGCGGTGTTGCGCCGATCGCGATCGCGATTCCACCCCTCGTTCCACTCGGGGACGCCCTGCGAACGAGGGGAGGTGGGTGTGCGGGGGGGGGAGGAGCGGGATGTGCGGGGGAAGAGGAGGGGGGTGTGCGGGGGGAGAGGAGGGGGGTGCGCGGGGGAGAGGAGGGAACCGGAGGGAAGAAGGAAGAGGTAGAGGAAAGAGAGAGAGAGAGAGAGAGAGAGAGAGAGAGAGAGAGAGAGAGAGAGAGAGAGAGAGAGAGAGAGAGAGAGAGAGAGAGAGAGATAGGTGGGGAACGGAGCGGACGAGATCACGCGACGCGTGAACAGCCTCTCGTAGTGCAGCTGCCTCTCTGGTGCGGGGTACATGTATATGCATGACCACTTTAACGGCGGCTACTATCCCATGGCGGCTACTATCCCATGGCGGCTACTATCCCATGGCGGCTACTATCCCATGGCGGCTACTATCCCATGGCGGCTACTATCCCATGGCGGCTACTAACCCATGACCCCGTTACCCGCAGCGCAGCGCACCTCGTGGCCCTTGGCAAGCTTGTCCCGCCGTATATTCGTCACCGCGTAGCGCCGCCGCCCGCTCAGGCTCTCACTCTGCGCGTCCGCGGGGACCTGCGCCGTGCCGATCATGGAGAGCGCGCTCGCCCGCGCACTGCTTGCGCGCGAGTGCGCAACGCTCAGCGACCTTCCGCGTCCGAATGTTCCGCCATCCTCTCCGCCGACAGCCGCGGAGAGGGGGCCGTCTGCGGAAGCCGCTAATGAAAGAGCGCGCGGATACTGCTGGGGGAAGTCGGGCGCGGTGGCACGCTCGACCGCCCCGCCACCCGCTAGCTGCTGCGCTTGCTGTTGCGCTTGCCGCTGCTGCTGCAGCTGCGGTTGCTGCTGCGGTTGCTGGTATAAATTCTGCTGCGGCTGTTCCTGCAGTCGCTGCGGCAGTGGCTCTCGGGCCTGCACCCGCTGGTCATGTTCCCCTGGCATTAGCTGCTCAAGTGACTGCCGCTGCGGTTGCACGTGTTGCTGCGACCGCAGGTGTTGCTGCGACTGCAGGTGTTGCTGCGACTGTTGCTGCTGCGATTGCCGCTGCGACTGTTGCTGCGACTGCTGCTGCGACTGCTGTTGCGATTGTAGCTGCGAATAATGCTGCGACTGCCGCGTCTGCTCGGGTTGGGGTGCAGCCGTGGCGCCATTCACCGTCGTCGCAGGCTGCCCGTCCAACGAGTCGTCAGTCTCATGGCCACGAATGACGGTCGCGGCTTCGCTAAACTCCTTGGCCCATGCCTGCCAGTCGCCCACGCTGCTTAAAACCATCTGCTGCTCCCAATCACGCGGCGGCTGCGGATGCGGATGCGGATGCTCCGCGTGCGCCATGGCGGGAGGGACTTCCGCCAGCCGGTGCTCGCCTGTTTGCGACGGCACGACAATCATAACCCCGCTACGACTCCAAGATAACGCGAGCTCAACCAAAGAAATATACAGTTGGCAACCAAATTACAGTCCAGTCAAGCTTGCGTGGAAGGTGGACGGAATGGAGCTGTGAGGAAAGTGCATCAGCCTTGCACGTTTGCGTTTTCGTTTGTGCTTCCGTTTGCGTTTGCGTCTGTTGAAGAATGGCAGCAGAATCGAAGGTGCCCAAGAATGCGGGGGGTGGGGTGGGGGGAGGGAGGCTGCTCTCTCTGCCCCACGTTCCGCTTCCCCTTGCCCATTCTGCCCGACCTGCGCCCGACATCCTCCGCCAGCCACCACTTGAAACAGGGAGACCGCGACACCGCCTGCCACTCCCTGCGCTGCGGGTCAGCGCAGCCATGACCGGGTCGGGGTTGGGGGGGAGGGAGCTTTCGTAAAAATCAGGGCATCCGGAATGGGGCGGTCGTGTGCGGTTGACCAATCATGCGTCTCTCGTTCTTGCGTGTGGTAACCGTAGTGGTGAAGGTGACACCCGACCGACCCCACCAGGAGGGAAAACATTCAGGAATAGCCTAGGTTTGTAGCGAGTATGGAATGCATACACAGCATGACTTGCATACAAATCACAACAGTTTTATGCCCTTGGAGAAAAAAGTATCACATCTACTATCATAACTCTCAACACGCACCCTGGAATCCAACTACTAGGGCCATGGATATCGTAACGTGTCTTAGTGCGAGGGATATGGAGGTGGTACTCACATGTACATATTTGGTAGATACGTCATTCGAAAGGATCATGGAAAAAGCTACATCTGCATCTAGAGTTGTCCTGTTAGTATTCACATGGATAAAGCCGCGCGGCTAGAGGATGGGGCACTACAAAATGCTGTTGCTTGAGTGCAACTCGGCTCAGATGTACGCTCAGGTGCATGTCCGCTTGGAGTGTGCTCAGATACGCGCGCAGACGTGCCTTCAGGGGTGCGTTCTATCGAGGAGGGAATCTTGACGCATCGGTGCAAGAGCAGGTTGACATCTGTCTCGTCCAGAATCTCCTCCTGCAACAGCTCTTCGATCACATCCTCCATCGTTATTATCCCCACCACCACCTCCTCTTCCTCCTCCTCCGCTTCCTCCTCGTCTCCACCGCTTGACTCTGCATGCCTAGCCTCCTCCGAACCTCTCCCCTCACCTCCCACCCCTTCGTTCCCTTGCCCCGCATACCCCCCCCTACCAGACATGAGCCTCCTTTCCTCACCAGGTCCTGTTACCACCTCCTCAGCCTCATCACTCATCGGACTTGACCCCAACCCGTTGCTGTTGCCCCCCCTACCAGGACTGCCAGCACCAGCGTCCTGTGCACCATCTTTCCTCCTCCTCCGCTTCCTCCCGTTACTCGCAGCAGCCTCTAGCTGAGTGACGTCAACTGCCATGTCAGCAGCAGCAACACTACTGCGAAACAGACCCTTGCGCACCCCTGCACCGGCAACCGATCCACTGCCCTGCCGTTGTTGTGCATCGAGTAACAGCCGTTTGCCTTCCCTGTGCTGCCTGGCAGCAACGGCAGCAGAAACAGCGGCAGCTGTCAGCTGCGGTGCACGCATTGTGGGTCCTGGCAACCCTTGTGCAAAGCCCCACTGCAGTGCTAGCTCGCTTGCGAGATTTCTCGTGGGTATTGCTGCTGGTGGTTGTGACGGGGCTGGTAAATCTTCATCCCATGGCACGCTCACAGAAAGTAGCGGCTCCAGGGACTGACGTCTTACTGGCTCGTTAACACTGGCTCTCTCAGGGGCACTGGGGTCACTGTTAGCAGTGCCCTTCCCACCTGCATTCAACAACTCTACTGCGTCTGGATCGGAGGGGTGTGGACGTGACGTCGCACCAGCAGCAGCACCAGCGGCAGCGACAGCAGCGGTGTGAGCAGATGAGCTGGTCGAATCAGCAGCAAGGACAGAAGCAGTGGGTATGACGAAACGGGACAGGATGACCGAGGGCGGCGGTGAGGCAAAGGGGGAGAAGTCAGGCGTGTTGGTCACACACGTGCTGGTGACGCTGGTGCTGGGGCTCGTCATAGTCATGGTACTGGCACCAGTCGTTCCAGCAACATGTGCCACAGTGATGGTAGTTGAAGTGGCTCGGGTGGTCGTGGTGGTGGTAGTGGTAGTGGCAAGGCTAGCACTGGTGGAGGTGGTGGTGAGGTAGTGAGCGGGAGCAGTGACGGCAGCCATGTGTGAGTGCCCACGTTGGAACTCGTTCAGCATGTCGTATAGGGGAAGGGAAGCGTGCACCCTGGGGGTTTGGGGTAGAGAGGAGGAAGTGAGGTGGGAGGAGAGGGGGGATGGAGGGGATTAGACCAAGGGAGCAGGTCGGAAGGGGAAGGAAGAACGAAGGATTGTGCCTGCAAAAGGGGACTCCCTAGTGACGTTGTCCAAGGGAGTTGCTTCGACCATGACGCGTGGCAATAATCATGACGTAGGATTACCTTGGAATGCGGCGAATAGGGACTTTGCGGATAGGGGTGGCGTCCTCTGGGTGGAGAGATATGAGGTTCTTCACCTGGGGTCACATGGGCATGGATGCATGCATGTACACGCATGGACATGTCCACATGTGCACATGTGCACATACACACATGCACATGCGCATACACAAAGATACAAACGTGTCAGGGTGAGACATTATATCCAACCAACGGCACAACAAATATGTAGACATGGCTTGCCCCCATCATCCTCACTTTCGCCCCATTGTACCGATTATCGCCCTTAATAATACCACCACAGCCCCTCGGTCTCCCCCTGGCAACATAGAACTACCCAGCCCTGGGGTTACAGGGGCACAGGGTGACAGAGTGAGAGGGTAATAGGGTGAGAGCCTGGAGCTTACCAGCAGCAGTCCGATGATGTTGTTGGGGGAGCCATGGTACACGGGCACGCGGCTGTGACCCCTCTTCATCAGCTGCTGCATCGTCTCCCTGCTTGCGCGCCCCTCGCACATGCACGCACACCACACACACACCCACGCACGCACGCACGCATGCATAAACACGCATACAATGGGCGTTGCTAGAGACAGGAAGAGAGCTAGCATGCACAGATCCATGGACACATGCGGATGTTGCACGCACGGACAAACTCCCAAGAGCGAGCCGCAAGAACAAAGGCAGCACAGCCTGGCTATACACCCCGATTGGAAACCCAAACAAGGGCGGAAAATCTCCCAGAGAATGCCGCAAGGTGTTTTCGAGAATTCTCAAAAACACCCTGGAAACCCAAACAAGGGCAGGAACTCTCCCGGAGCATGCTGCAAGGGAAAGACACATGGGTCGAGCTGGGTGCCTGTCGACGCTGAGTGAGACGGCGTGGTGGATGGGTGACAGTGTGCTAATGGAATAATTTGGAGATATCTAACAAATGGATTGATTTGATACAAAAGCAGCAAACGCACAGGTCGAGCTTGGTGTCGACGCTGAGCGAGAAGGCGTGGTGGATGGGCGTCATGGCGTCCGCCACTGTCTTCCCTGCCAGCTCCAGCGCCCCACTGATGATCGTCGTCTCGTCCACCGTCAAGTCTCCGCCCCTTCCCTCCTGCCAACCACATGCGAAACCCGGGAGGAGAGGGGGAAGGGGGGGAGAAGAGGGGGGGTTTGGGATCGGAGGGAGGATGTGGAAGTTCGGAGGAGCCGGAAGGTGCGAGGCGTAGGAGGAACGGAGGGAAAGAGAGAGCACAAGAAGAACCCAGCAACCCACCCAGCAACCCACCCAACAACCCACCCAGCAACCCACCCAGCAACCCACCCAACAACCCACCCAACAATCCACCCAACAACCCACCATCTTGGCGTGCATGTTGACAAAGGCCTTGAGTTCTGCCCGGCGGTACAGCGGCTCGTTGCTGGCCCCTAGCATGAGGTCCAAGAGCTGGGTTAGGGAGAGGGGTGGGGTCGGATACACGGGTTGGAAAGGGGATGATGGGAGAAATACAACAGGTTATAGGGATAAATGTCGGGCTCGTGAGGGGGAGAGCGAGTGAGTCAAGAGAGGCACGTACGGCAGGGAGGATGGGATGGGTATGGAGAAAGCGGCATAGAATCTGAGAGGGAGCGGGATAGCATGAGTGGGTGACTACTTGGCATGAGGTGTGAATTGTGGCGTGACATGTTACGGTTACCACCTTGCTGATGGGGAGGGCGATGGGATAGATAGAAGAGCAGCAGGAAGAGCACATGGATCTTGATTCTTGAGGCCTCAAAATCAGTCTCGGTACAAAAGGGAGCTGGTAATGGCAAAATATTCGGAGTGAATGTACCACCTTGCTGATAGGGAGGGCGATCGGGTAGAAGAGCAGCACGAGCACTTTGACGAGGGGAGCGAGGCTGGCTCCTATGGCCAGTCCGTACCGCGAGCACACTGCTTGAGGAATGATCTGCACGGTCAGAAGCACATGCACACACAAGGAGACACAACCACCCCCCCCAACCGGCCAGTCCACATGCACAGAGGAAACGCGGAATCGATCGGTCAATCAGTGGGGAGCTCGGACACAAAAAGTTACCACCAGAAATCCAACGTGCGAGAAGTAGCTGCACCAACTTCAAGTTGCTGCCAGAAATCCATAAACACAATTTTGTTGAACATTTGGCGGCGATGCTTCTGCAGCTGTTATCCTGTTACATCAATGCAAAAGTCGCAACTCGCACAGACAATGATTGAACCGCTCGCGTGCGATGCGTTAGACGTTCCAGGCTGGGGTCCTCCCTCGTAGTAGAAGCATGTGAGTGGAAGTGCTAGCTACTAGCTAATAGTTATTCCAGCTAGTTGCCGCGGCGGCCATGACATGAGGATCATTCTCATGAAGCGCTTGCTACAACTGCAGATGCTACTACTAGTAGGACGAAGCACGGACCTCGCCGAAGAGGAGAATGAGAGTGACTGAGAGAATGATGGCGGCCCACGACGGCACGAGGGCGTCTAGGAATATTGGAAGTGCCTGGTGCATGGCATGGGAACATGCGATGATAGTGAACAACATACCATCACGCCATGGCAAGCCATCAGGCCATCATGTCATCATGGCCATCATGCACAACGGAGATGGAGAAAGGGAAGAGAACGTCGAAGAAGGGAGAAATGAGAGACGAAGGCAGAATCTAAAAATACGCCGAGCACTGCAAATTGACGGCTACGATTGGAAAAAGAGTAGCCTGGAACAAGGAATCCACTGAGGAGCGACGGATTCACTGACCTCCATTGCAAGAGCATTCCCGATGAGGAGAGTGCACAGAAGCAGATGCGGCTTCTTCATTACTGGGAGGATTCTAGCTGGAAAACGATCAAAAAGCAGGAATTAGAAAAACTGCAAGATTGGAAGCCTCGGATGTCTCTACTGCACTGGAGTTCTGGCGAACTCTGAAAGAAATGTTCAGATCGTATCCAGGCAGATGCGGCCTCGTCAGCTGCTCTACTACTCATGGCGAAGCGAACTTCACTTTGAAAGAGCTGGAGAGGAAGGGAATTCGCCTTTAGGAAGGAAACGAGTCGCACCTGCGTGCTTCTTGTCCGAATCCGACCCGCTTTGCTGCAAAACCTCCAGGTCGACCAGGCCCAGTGACATGAGCCCGAGAGTCAGACCAGACATTAGTCCGGAGAACGTGACGAGACACACAATCAGGACTATGTAGAACCAGAAATTCCCGCCACAGCATTCCACGTGCATCTCCATACTATTCGATAGAAGCGTATCTGAAATAGCCGCGAAAGGTGTGAGCTCTCTTGCTCAGATTTGACCTGCCTTGTAAAGAGGGGAATGGGTGGGCCTGTTCACTTTATGCTTTCTGTTCTCTAGCGGTAGGCACTGGACTGCCGCTGTGTGGGTGAGGTGGGCCTTGTTGGCCTGCTTGGTGGTGCCGAGGATGATGGAGAGACGGACAGGTGGGAGGGGGAAGGACGCCTTGGGAATTCCGTGGGGAATTTCGGGAAAGCACAAATGGAAATGGGATTTGGAATGGCGTTTGCAAATTCTTGGTTGCACGTCTCGCAACAGCTTTATGCGAGACGGAACGCAACAGAACCATGGACGGAGAAATATGACGTGTTCGCGTGCCGGTTCAGCCGGCGCAACGAATGTAGGAAGTGGCAAATTGGCGTCTGCTTCCTCGTCAGCGCGGCTCTGTTCTGACGGAAAGTTCCCGTCGATGCTCTTCCTCGAGGCTCTTGAGAACATCTCGGTTTAGAATTGCGCGGAGCGCAGTGATGTCCGCCGGCAAAGCAAAGGGATCCCTTCCTTCTCTGCTGTTGAGTGAGCACCACGTCATTCGATGTGCATTACATGTGTTCACCTTCGCGACATTGCATTACATGCGCGTGCAACAGAGTATTTATGTGGAACATTATGGAGTACACTAGATCCAAATCTGGATACGCATTATGGTATGAACTAGGGCCAACAAGGGTTTGATGCAAAACAAGCAGACAACCAAGCAGCCAACGAGCTAGAATTCATCTGGTTATCCAGCTTTTTTTGGGCTTTAAGGAGATCCCAGGAGGAAACCAGGCCCCCTTTCCCACGCCGATCCACCTGCGAGCCACTGGGGGCTGGTTATCCGGCATGTTGACGTGTTTCGTAGCAAATGTATGCTGAATCATAATATATGTCTGTTGAAAGTTACTCCGTAACTTAGAAGTTGCATAAATTACTCCTGTTTATTCAATAAATTCTAAATCACTGCCAATTTGATTATGCTATAATTGCAGATCACAGGCCTTTGGTGACTCAGAAATATACTGGAATTGAATTCTTCCATGATGATACAATAGAGCACGATGGAGCACACAATACCATGTGCAGCCCCTCTGAAAGTCCATTCTCGAACTGTGCTCGACAGTCTTGAGGTTCACGCCTCCACCCCTAGAGCCAGCGTGGCGTTGCAGACTGAGTGACATTTTGATTCGTCCGTGGATCTCTGTTTCACCAATCGTAATAGACTTGCGTTGTCGACACCTCATGCTGACAGGGCGGTTCGCCTGCATGTGTACATTTGGAGGGTTATCCTTTGCGGGGGACAGACTTGTCGCACAGTTTCGCCATCTGCAACCAGCACAAAATTGGGAAAGAATTTCAACAATCATCATCGTCATGACCGAATCAGCGTGCTGTTCACCCAGTAACGTGCTGCCCAGCTTGCCCATGCGACACAATACTGCCTCTTCGAGCGTCGATCAGCAACTTTTTGCGCCTCTGCGACGAAAAGCCTGGTTGCTGACAAACCGCTAACAGGCAACAAGAAGCAACCTCCACTTTCATCCAACGGCTGGCATGGACGTGCTTGCTAGCTTGTCCTGTCCACCCCCAGCCTGATCCAGCACCTCCCCTTTCCCCCCTCCCTCATCCCATTCCGCTAGCATGTAGCTGTTGCTGATTTCTTGTTCACTCGTGGAAGCTGCAATTAGTCACTGCTTAGGAAGCGCGAACAAGGGAGCTCCTGTGATCGCCGCTGAGATCGGAGGTGTTGAGTGGTTTGGCTGGTGCTGCGCCATGGCGTCTCGTTCCGCTGTGCTGTTTGCTCTGATTTCAGCGGGATGCTTCTTTGCGGTACGATACATCGTCGTCTCTCATCGACTAATAATTTCCGGCGAAAGCTTTGATGGCGCAAGCCAGGGACCCAAGTTTACCAACTGTAAAACAGTTGGTTGGGACTAAAACTACCGATTGGCCGGCGAGCTGTAGGCACCAGTGAAATCGCCTGCGAGTGTTGCAATTCACGCACCCTCGCGACACAAAACCTGTTTTTTCCCAACCAACTCTAAAACACTTGCCCCAGGTTCTAGAAACTCTAAAACACTCGCATGAATCTGATCCCGCTTTTGCGTTTCCCGTGTGCTCCAGATCGCGGTGTCGAGGCCGTCTGGATTTGACGAGGAGGAGGTGAATGGCCTACCTGGCAGCGTCTTCAAGGTTCTCTCCCTTACCCTTACCTTCCCTCTTCCGTTGCCACCTTCCCACCGCTTCCTCGTTCACTACTCCAGCCTTCGATAGTTCTTACGTTCGTCAGGCCTTGGTTGCCCTTCTTTGCGCCTCGACTAGTTTCCGCTCATTGTCTTGCGATCGAAATTGGATGTGCAGCCTGATTTGGTGCACCGCGTGAACGAGAACCCCACCGCCACGTGGGAAGCGGGCTACAACGAGCGCGTGCATCGCCTTTCTGTAGGTTACACCACCTTACCGCTTCCGTATATTTCATGCCTCGTCGTCAAATTCTTGATCGGATTCGGATCTCGCGCTGTGCTGTCCGTGTCCCCTCGCTGACTCTCGTCACCCTAGAAGCCCGGTCTCAAGTCGTTGGCCGGCGCGTATCGCCATCCGCCAGTCAACGCTCTTCCCCGCAAGGAGCTTTCTCCTGCTGCCATGAACATCAACCTTCCCAAGCACTTCGACGCGCGCAAGCACTGGTCGCACTGCCCTTCCATTTCCTTCGTTCGCGGTACGTGTGTGTGTGCGTCGACGTGTAGCAGGTTTTCTGGTCAATTTTGCTCAGCACCTCATCGAGTGGCTTTTGCATGCTTCGCTTCATCCTGAACGATTTTGTCATGGCGTGCGGGTTCCAAATCTCATCTTCCGTCTGTCCTGCGTGCATATGTCTTACCATGCTGCTATTCCGGGTCACGTCGTTTCCCCTGGGCGCGGATGTGCGGCGTTCGGATTGCTGATGTCCTTACTCGATCATGATGATTTTGACGCTGCAGACCAGGTGAGCGAGGGGCGCGTGCCTTTGTGCGATTGCTTTCCATGCAGCCGGCATAAATTGTTGCACTTGTACGTCAAACTCTGAATGTGATCCTGCCGTGCTTGGTGAATTAGCTGGTGGAATCTTTATGTCAGCTCGGCTAGCGTTTACTCTGTCACGAGGGATTTTCTCAGCTGCTGGGTGTTATTTACACTCTGTACCTTGTTGCGTTTCTCCCATTCGTCAGGGCCACTGCGGTTCCTGTTGGGCCTTCGGTGCAGTGGAGGCGCTCAGCGACCGCTTCTGCGTGGCGTTCAATGAGGTCAGTAGCCACCTTTTAATTCCGCAATCCCTTGCGACCGAAATTCCTTCCGGTCGCCGTTCCCTTCCCCATACATGCCCCTTATGCAATCATATCACCATCATCTGTCTGGCATCCTTTGCTGTCCTCTTTGATGGTCTCGGTTTCTGCCCTCGAGCAGTCTGTGCAGCTGTCCACCAACGACCTGCTGTCCTGCTGCGCCACGTGCGGCGATGGCTGCAACGGTGGCTGGCCTTACCTCGCCTGGGAGTTCTTCACCAAGAAGGGCGTTGTCACTGAGCAGGTGCGCCTGAGGCTATTTGATATAGTGGTGATTTGAAGGGTGTTTTCATTCTATTTGAAGCAGAGAGGATGTGGTGAAGCTGTGATCCCCTAATTCCTTCCATGCCCTCTCCTTCACCGTCTTCTGTGTTCTTCTCTCGTCTTGCTACTGTTGCCAGTGCGAGCCGTACTTTGATCAGCAGGGGTGCAAGCACCCTGGGTGTGAGCCTGTGATGCCCACGCCTGCATGCAAGCTGACATGTGCCGATGGGGAGAACTGGCGCGGCAGCAAGCACTACGCGTCCGATGCTTACCTAGTGGGGCGCTCTGCGGAGGCCATGATGACAGAGCTGATGCTGCACGGGCCATTTGAGGTGGACTTTGACGTCTACGAGGTGAGCCTAGCAATTCGGCATCGCACCATGTGCTATGCACGCATATTTTAATTTGTTTGTGGTCCCCTTTTACTAGCCTTTGTTGTCGAATGTGAGTTGCCTGACTGTTGTTGAACGGTGTTTGCAATAAATGCAGGATTTCACCTACTACAAGAAAGGGGTGTATTCACACTTGGTGGGGGACATGGTGGGAGGGCATGCGGTCAAGCTGGTGGGCTGGGGCACCACTGACGACGGTGTGGACTACTGGGTATGTGCTGTGCTTCTTTTTCCATGGCTGTGTGATAAGTTGCCCGTTTTGCTCTCCTTGGCATCGTTTCCGCGTATTCGCAACCTGGACTGATGGTTGGTGTCTATCTGTTTGCTTTTGTTTCGTGGTGTACAGATCATCGCTAACTCCTGGAATAGCAGCTGGGGAGAGGTTAGTACCTGTCGTTCGTTCGTTCTTTATTTTGTTTGGGTCACGATGGCTGTAACATTGCCTTTTGCTTTTCTCCCTCTTGTGCTTATTGATCCCATGGCCGGGCTTGACAGAATGGGTTTTTCCGTATCCGTCGAGGCACCAATGAATGTGGCATTGAGGAAGACCCAGTGGCTGGCACCCCTTCCAAGACCCCTCCCCCGCCTGAGATTTTTGATGACATTGCTACCGAGTAGACAGATGTTGAGCATTCGTTCGGAGATGCACACCAATGCCTTTGAGGCAGGATTTGTGATGTGCAGTTTCATTGGGTGATGTGTTATGGTGAATACCCCTTTTGTTGTGTTCTTAACAGTTTGGGACATGTGTGAAGGGCAAGTTTGAGTGGCGTGTACCGTGAATTATGACGTGAAGTCCTGTCCACAGTGGGACATTATCGGGGCCATAAGTACACCTGTTCTCCTATTTAGTCCCACGGTTTTCGTACGCGGCTTGAGCCTGTAAGCAGGAAATTGTAAAACACGGGCAAACGGGACTTCGAAGGGGAAATCCCACAGTAAACAATGACACCTGGTTACAAAATCTCGCTCATGCACTAGATTGGTTGCCTGCGCGACGTTCCAGATCTGAAACTCGCAATTGTCGAAATACAACTTGGTAGCTCGTTATCGTTCAGACTGCATCCAATCAGGTTCAGTGTCAACGCGAGTCATGCTGAGAACCTGGTAGGTGAGATTGCATCTTGGACTGTTCGGGGTGGGACCATACAGGGGAAAAGGTGTAGATCGTGACTCTGCCGTGCTGGAGCAGCAGTCGTTGTCCGTCTCCCATGAATCAATGCCGGTCCGCTCACGACGTGCGGCTACCCGCCGGGCGGACAGCGACGACTTTGCACGACCCGCTAGCTTTTCTCGGCAGGTCCGTTAGTGCCGCAATCGAGTCCGTCCGTCGCACCAGGGCCGTTTACTCATCGCCGCTGGATCTGGTCTCACATGCTCGTCCGTGAAAAGCACCTTCCCTGTCCGCCTTTCCCCTCTCTCGCGCAATCTTGTTTTGTAAAGCGCAATTGCTGGTCCGAATGTACTCGATACAGCACGAATCCCTGTTGCGCCCAACACCACAACCACATCCCCCCATCCCCCTCTCTTCTGGCTGCAAGCTTGCAAGCAACCTCAAATGAAACCAGCCCCCGTTCCCCCCACTTCCCCTGCCATCAAACCATCCAGCACGCCACCACCTCGCCCCAACAAGCCAAACCCCGCTTCATCCGCCTTACCCTGGCTTGCACGGGCTCCTCCGCGCCACAGGGGGCAGACACCGTCATCCATCGTCTCTTTTGCTCGTTGTTTTCTTCCTCACATCCATCTATCGGTCTGTCCGCCTGCCCATCTGTCTGCGCCCTTGGCCTCGCAATAACCACGAAACGTGCTGTTTACGGAGAAGGATTGTCGCCAGCGAATGACTTAGTCGCATCGAGAGAGCCACTGCGCATGTGCGCCGGGAGCGATAGGCGACATGGCGCAGACAGACGGCGCACATAAAAGCGCGGTTAGCGGTTCGAAGCCTAGAATTTTTCCGGGCGTTCGGCTGCCCATTAGCTTCCGTCGAGACAAAGCCAACTCGAAGAAAGACCGCTGCGTGGCCGCGCAACAGGTCGATGCCGCGTTAGTAGATCGGTGTTTGGAACATCGAGCCTTAGAATCAGTACCTCTCTCAGGTGCCAATAGCAGTAGTAGTAGCAGTACCATTAGAATGCAGCCGAGAGGAGATTATCACATAGTAGATTACCAGCGACCGACACGAATCGGAAGAAGCTACTCGCAAGAGCCGCCGGAGTCGCAGTGTGAGCCTCCACTCACGTTCTCCCAAGCGCCGCCGGTGGCGGCGGCGGCGGCGGAAGTCTCGACGCTGCCGCAACTCCGCCCAACAGCTTATGGGCGGGCCACCATGGCCACGCCGCCTCAGCTCTCTGCGTATGATTGCTCTCCCTATATCGCGTACGTCTCTGGCGGAGAAATTCCGGCAAACCCTGTGGCCACGCCTTCACTGAGGCTCCCCTGCGCACCAGAGCAAACAGTAACGGCTAATCCCCGCCTCTCCGGTGCGCCTGGTCCTTACCCGCGGGGAGAAAGGTTTGCGCGCAGTTGTGGAGGCGCGGGCGGAAGAGCTGGCGGAGGGGCCGCGTGCGGCGGAGACGACGGTGCGCAAGTCGCTGCGGCGGCGGAACTTCCGCCGAAAAGGCTTGGAAGTGGTGGAGGAGGCGGAGGGCGCACAGGACAGGCCGCCGCTGCGGCTGCGAGAGGGGAGGCGAGTCATGATGCTCGAAGAACGGGCTCCTCGGAGGAGTCTTCGGAGCGCTACTGGGTGGACTCGAGCAGCAGCGGCAGCGGCAGCGGCGGCTGCGGCAGAAGTCACGAGTCGGAGTCAGCGTCATCGACGATGGCGAGAGTAGCCGCACGATCGTCGCGCGGCACCACACGTAGTGCTGCAGCAGCATACAGCAGGTGCGCGTCGTTGCCGAGCGCCAGGGGAACGAGTGCGGGGGGAACGAGCGCCAGGGGAATGATGCCCCCGCCGGCCTGGGCTGTCAGGAGAAGACGCGAGGATGGTGGTGGTCGTGGTGATCATGCTGATGATGACAGCGAGTCACGTGACGATGACAGCGTGGCACGTGACGGTGACACGTCAATTTCAGCGCGAGCGCGGCACAGCGGCGCTGGCTTCCCCGACTTGGCCTCCTCCCCCGCCCCCCGCATCCCGCCGCTCTCCTCGCTTCTCCGCTCTCCCTCTATCTCCGCAACCCAGTCGTCTTCCGCTCAAGTTTCCGCCGCTTCCTCACAAGACTCCCCGCGCACAGGCGTGCGCGCCCCCCGTTCTCCCCGCGCCTTCAGTCCGGCGCAGCCCGCTTTCCCCCCTTCCGCGCAACCCCACCACTGGCAGGGGCTGCCCCCTCTTTCAGAAACTGCTCCCACTCCGCCCGCCCCTGCCGCTGCCCCTGATGCTGCTGCTGGTAGGGCGAGCTTTAGGCGGAGTGCAGTGAGTGTGGCAGATCGGGTGAAGGCGTGGAAGGACGCGGAGTCAGCAGATGGCGCTTTATCGGAAATGGCAGCAGCCGCAGCGGCAGCGGCAGCGGCAGCTGCATTGGGCATAAGACCCAGTGTGTGTTCAGGTGGCGGTGACACTTGGGGTGATGACGGGGGTGAAGGGGAAGGGGATGGGGATGGAGAGCTCGAGGGTATCACGTGCTCCTTTGCGGACTGGCAGAAAACAGAAGCAAGAAAGCTGGTCGTGCGGGGGGGACGGGGCAGTGCGACTGCTGCTGCTGCGTATGTAGGTCCTTCCGCTCCTTCGGCTCCGTCTGCTTCTTCTGCTCCTTCTGATTCATCCACGTCAGCTTCTCCTTGCCATGCAGAGCAGCCCCACAGAACTGGTACCAGCAGCTGCAGCAGCAGCAGCCGCGGGGGCTTCTTTGACTTTCAACCCATGCCCGTGTGCAGGCCTCGGTACCCCTATCCTGGCCTTCGAACTCCGAGCACGCTGCCGATCGGAAGTGACGTGTCAACAAGCGACGTGGCAGAAGAGGAGGAGGAGGAGTCCTTCTCCTTCCAGCCGGTAGCAGCAGCCTGCCAACCCCACCCTGATGCCAACACCGCCAGCATCACTGCCCATTCTTCTGCACGCGCTGCTCCTGTGACTGCGGTAGCTGTGGCGGCTGCGGCGGCGGGCAATGATTGGACTTCAGCTATGATGGCGGCAAGGATTAGCACGGGGCAGCCAACAACAACACCAACAACAACAGTAATGCGTGAAGAGAGGCTCCCGAGCATGGATTCCATAGGAGGAAGGGGAACGCCGCCTCACCCCTTGTCGCGCTCATCGCAGTCATTTGTCGGCAGGGAGACGTCGCCGTTCTACCCCTCGTCTCCTGTCAGCCGGACCCCTACTTCCCCACCTGCTGTCATCCGACCCCCTCCACCACTCTACCAGTGCCCGTCCCCCTCCTCCCCTTTGCGCCAGTACTCAGGACTGCCCTATCCCCAGCACCAGCAGCAGCAGCAGCAGCAGCTGTTGCATCCATATCCACCTTCGGACGTAAGCCCCCCTCCCATCCTTTCCTATCCACCTCCCTCCTCCACCCTGCATGGCCAGCCCCAGCCTCCGCCTGAGTACATAAGCCTCGCCAGCCCACTTGGTGGTTACGGCTCTCTCCATAACAGCATGAATGGCGGTATGAATGGCAGAATCAACTCTGGCGCCAGCAGCTTGCTTGATGCCAATGGCATGTGCAACGGCAGCTGCTTACTGCATAGCAACAGCTCGCCAACTGGCAGCACTTGCCGCTTCAGCCGCAGCAGCAGCAGCAGGCTGGACTACCCGAGCAGCGCGAGCAGTGTGAGCAGTATGGGGGGTTGGAGCAACATCAGCACCAACAGCAGCAGCACCAACAACACCTGCACCAGCAGCAGCGGCTACAGCAGCGGGGGGTGGAGTGGAGGGGTGAGCGGGCACAGTCAGAGCAGTGGCAGTGGGGGTTACACTATGGATCATAATTGCTCGGCGTATCAGCTTGGTTCTCGCTCGGACTCCATGAAAGTGGCTTCACTTATTGCTGCTGCTGCAGTGAGTGCCGGCAACAGGCAGGCTCGACGCACACGCTCGCTCAGCGTTCAATCGTCTCTCTGTTAGTGTTGCCATTCTTTTTTTGTAGGTTATTTGTTCATTTTCCCGAGTGGTGTTTATTAGGATCTACCGTACAAGTATATGGAAAGGATATATGCATATACCGTACCTGTGTTTTCTGTTGCAAGCAAAATACTGTAACCCGTACAGGATGGAAAGAGTTAGAAGTCAACTGGATTGGTTGGTACAAATCTCCCTAATACACAACAACACACAAACAAGTTTTCTTCCCAAGTTCCCAACCTGTACAGCTCAGCGAATCTGTTGCTAGAGCACACACTTCGCATGAACTACACTACATTCCGTATCTCTCTCTGACACAATGGCCACTAACAGAGCGGCTTTGCCTTGGGCATAGACAGTTCCCCCTTTCCCCCATCTTCTTCTCCCACCTTCTCCTCCGCTCCCATCTCTGCCTTCCCCTCCTTCCTCACTTCCTCCTCCCTCTCCCCCCTTCTCGCCCTCGCCTTGTCGGCATGTGCCTTGATGCGGCCGACCGTCTCCTTGATGTCTCGCACCAGCCACTCTGCCAGCTCGCGGGAGAAGTCTTCGCGCACGCATACTCGCAGCACCGTCACATCCTGCACAGGGGGGGAGGGCGAGAGGGGGAGAGAGGAGAGGGGAGAGGGGAGAGGGGAGAGGGGAGAGTGGAGAAGGGGGGGGGAGGGAGGGAAGAAGAGGAAACACGAGGAGTCAAGAGCAGAGCGAAAAGGCGACAGGCAGAGGCGAAAGGGTGGGAGATAGTCCTCCTGCCCACACAATCGCAGCACGGTCACATCCTGCAGAGGCGCACGGCCAGGGAGAGACAGGCAGAGAGCCATAACCCAAGGGGCGGAGGGGTCAGGATGGGTTGGGAGAGGGAGTGAAGGGGGAGAAAGGTGAAGAAAAGAGCATGCAGCATGAATGCCCGAATGCATGCCTTCCACCTGTGGCTAATGCACATCACCCCATGTGTGCATGCGTGGAATGATGGCCTCTCAGACTTCCACTGCACTTGCGACGCCCCCCTCGCCATGCCCCCCTTGCCAAGATCCAAGGGCAGAATCCATCCGAGTGACAACAGCCGACACGAGCCGTATTGGTTGGAGTCAACTGAGCCCCACACCCCCCAAATGCCCCCCCCCGCCCGCTGGCCTCACATGCATGTCAGGTGGCATCTGGTAGGAGGGCAGGATCCAGCCATGCCTCCGCAGGTCGTCACTGAGCTCGCGCTCCGACAGGTGCGCGTATGGGCTGCAGGATGCATGGCACGGCAACACAGGACGGTCGAGGATGGGAGAAGACAAGACAAGGACAACCCAGCACGAGTCCAACGAAGCAAGGGGGCACCGAAGCAAGGGAGCACCGAAGCAAGGGAGCACCGAAGCAAGGGAGCACCGAAGCAAGGGAGCACCGAAGCAAGGGAGCACCGAAGCAAGGGAGCACCGAAGCAAGGGAGCACCGAAGCAAGGGAGCACCGAAGCAAGGGAGCACCGAAGCAAGGGAGCACCAAAGCAAGGGAGCACCGAAGCAAGGGAGCACCGAGGCAAGGGAGCAAGGGAGGGGCGCACGCACGAGTTGGGCTTGAAGCGGAAGGCGACGAGGGGGATGCCCATGTCGGCGTCGGACAGCATGTGGAACATACCCGTGCCCTCCAGCTGCTCCCTTAGCGAGTCCGCCACCGACGCACAGCTCTGCATCACACGCCGGAAGCCCTGGTGGTGGGAAGGTTGCAGGCGTTGATTTCCAGGGGACAGGGGGGAGTGGGACTATTGCAATGGCAACGAGATGGCCACTGCCGCACAGCTCTGCATCATCTCGTGCCGGAAGTCCCGGTGGTCGGAACATTGGAGGTTTTGGTTCCAGGGGACAGAGGAGCATGGGGCTATTGCAATGGCGGCGAGACGGCCACTGCCGCACAGATCTGTATGACACGCCGGAAGCCCTGGGGAAGTGGTGAGGGGGGAGGAGGAGGGGTAGACCGAGGGGGAGCGGGGGGAGGGGAGTGCGGTGGCGAGTGGCGTGTATGGAGTGAAAGAGAGCGTGGGGTGCTGCTGCTGCTTGGCGAGTAGGCTGAAGGAAGGGCCTTGTTGCAACAAGAGCCTTGTGGCAGCGCCGCGGTGGCGGCGGTGGTATCAGCATGGGGGACCCTCTGGTTGCACGCGGTGGCGAGCAGAGAGTCAATGCCATGGGAACCACGTGCATGCGATGGATGGCAGGTGCATGCATGGGGGTTAGAAGGGAAAGGGGTAGGTGGAAGGGGAGGAGGCACGAGTAGGTTACCCTGAAGCCAAGGCGAAGGAACTGGTAGTACTGGCCCACTATCTGCGCCGCTCCTGATGCCCATGGCATGGTGCGGCATGGGATGGCATGGCGCGGCATGAGATAGGAAGGGAAAGCACTGGTGAAGCGACATGGGGTGAGAGCATAGCAGACAGGATCATGCAAGCTAGGCAGGAAGACTGGCGAGCGCCGCGTGCGTTACAGGGGATCCAGTACTGGGGAAGAGAGAGCCATTGAGAGTACCATCCGCGGATAAGGAGACGACTTTTGAGGCGCCTCAAAAGAGAGAGCCATTGAGAGTACCATCCACGCACACAAGCAACCACTGAGAAGACTTGCCGCACGCCACACACCTTCCTTCTCCCACCCCCCAACCCCTCCCTCCCTTCTTCCTCACCCACCTCACCCCTCCCACCACACCCCCCAAGCCACGCCACCCGTGCACCTCGGGAGAAGTTGAGCGTGTCGGTGGGCTGGTCCTCGCCCAGATAGTCCACGTGGTAGATGAGGTCCTGCGGCAGGCACTGGTCGTTGCACCAGCTGCTGACGGCAAGTGCGCTGAGAGTGAAGCACGCCTCAACCCAAGACGGAGTACAACACACACACGCACGCACACCACACTAGGTACCACCGTCCACTCCCACCCACAACTGCACACTCCCCTCCCTTCTTCTACACCCGGCCTACCCCCACCCCACCCCACCCCACCACCACTGCACCTCGGGAGAAGTTGAGCGTGTAGGTGGGCTGGTCTTCCCCCAGGTAATCGATGTGGTAGATGAGGTCCTGCGGCAGGCACTGGTCGTTGCGGAAGAGCAGCCACGCGATGCCCGGGTACGTGAGCCCGTACTTGTGCCCACTCGTGCTCACGGACAGCACGGACGGCAGGCGGAAGTCCCACGCCAGGGCTGGGTACAGGAACGGCGCTATGAAGCCGCCGCTTGCGGCGTCCACGTGGATGGGCACGCGCCAGCTGGGGGGAACGGGAGGAGGGGGGAGGAAAAGGACACAAGAGGATGTAGTTGGAGTGGGGGGGCTGTGGTGGAACGAAGGGGAAGAACGGCGCTGTGAAGTTGCCACTCGCCGCGTCCACACGGATGGGCACGTGCCAGCCCAGGGAGGAGAAGCGGAAGGTGTGAGGGGGGGAAGCGAGGGGGGAGGGAAGGGAACGGGAGAGGGGGGAGGGAAGGGAAGGGGGAGAGGAGGAGGACTTTCAAGGTGTCTTCTGAGTGAGAATCAAACGAGAGTGAGGAGATATGAGGAGAGGAGGGGAGGGAGAGGGCGGGGCAATTGAGGCACACAGCAGGACCAACTCACTCAGCTGGACCTGCTGGTACTCAGCTGGCCCTCAGGGCGCTGGACCGCACACAGCAGGACCAGCTCACCCGTGCAGCAGGTCCAGCGCCCTGAGGGCCTCGTCCAACCTTAGAAATCCTTCAAAGTGCCCCGCGTACGTGCTGCCCAGGATGGGCACCACACCGATGCTGCGGTGAACAAAGGATTTAGGGGCATAAGGCACCCCACACCGCACCCCACACCGCACCCCACACCGCACCCCAAGCCACCCACCACTCACCCCTGCGGAAGGTCCAGCGCCCTGAGGGCCTCATCCAGCCTGTGAACACCATCGCAGTGCCCCGCATACATGCTGCCCAGGACGGGCACGACGACAATGCTGCGGTCAACACATCCCGTTGAGACACCTCATACCACCCCTCCCACCCACCACCCACCCACCCCCACCCACCCCCACCCACCACCCACCACCCACCCACCCACCACCCACCCACCCCCACCCACCCACCCACCACCCAACCACCACCCACCCACCACCCACCCACCCAACTCACCCGTGCGGCAGGTCCAGCGCCCTCAAGCCCTCGTCCAGCCCCTGCACGTCCTCGAAGTGCCCCGTGTACGTGCTGCCCAGGATGGGCACAACCCCAATGGTGCGGTCGTCGCAGCGCTGCACGGCCTCGCGCACACGCAGGCACGGACAGTCGGGCGTCACGGGCACCATGCGCAGCTCCACCTCAAAGTAGTTGGCAAACTTCTCCACCACCACCTGGGGGGGGCGAGGGGAGGGGGAGGGAGAGGGGGGGTGGGGGGGGAGTTGTGGAGGAGGGGGGTGTGGGGGAGGGAGGTTGGGAGGGGAAGGGTGTAGGGAGGCGGCATGACGAGACATGGCGATGGAGAGGAGAGATGGTGGAAGTGTTGGGTGGTTTTGTGGTCAGCCCCACTCTTTCCCCTTCGCCTCCATCCATCCTGCAGTGTTTCGACAGTCCCACGGGTCCACGGTCCCACGGGCCCACTGCTGCTGGAACCCGCCTTCCCATCCCACGAGACTTGGTCTCACATGTGTGTTGGCGCCCACGACGAGGTTGGGATTGTCCGTAGGCAGCCCCTTCTCCTTCCTGTGCTTGAGCCACCGCCGCTTCATTGCCAGGCCTGGGCGAAGACAGGGGCCGGCAGACGCGGATGTGACAGGCAGCACATAAGAGATGCGTGAATGTAGAATGCAGCACAGGCAACAGTAGGTGAAGTGGCCATGCGATCAGTGATGCGAGGTGAAGTGGTTAGCACAAGTCATCACACGGCACCACATGGTATGACATGGCATCACATGGCATCACATGGCACTGCATGGCATGGCATGGCATCACATGGCACAGCATGGCATGGCATCACACAGCATCACACTGTCACATGGCATCACATGGCATGGTACAGCATGGCATCGCATGGCATCCCGGTGTGACCTGCGAGCATGATGGCTTCGCTGCTGCCGATGGTGGCAGTGCCCACAGCCGTCTGCCCCTCGCTCACGGGCGCGTGGAACAGCCGCGCCAGCATGTTCAGACACAACTCCTGCCGACCAGCAGGGAGAGGTGGAGGGGAGGAGTTGATTCATGAGGCTCCTCAAAAATAGTGCCAACTGTCGTCTGTCCTTCGCTCACCGGCACGTGGAACAGCCGCGCCAGCATGTTCAGACACAACTCCCGACGCACTGAGGGGGTTGCAGGGGGGGAGGAAAGTGCGTGGGGGGGGGTGGGGAGGGAAGGAGGCATGCGGAGGCGGCAGGAAGGGCGGACGGGGTGAGCGAGGCACGGAACAGCCTGGGCTTGGCACCCTGCTGACGCATGCGCGGAGGGGAATCACACACGTGGCATGGAAAGTTGAGACGGATCCTTCCGTCTATTCATGTCTGCATGAATAGATGGACACCCACCCCCCCCCTCTCTCGCACAGACAGACACACAGCAACCAACCCACCCACCCTCTCCCACAATCATCAGCCCCCCCCATCCCCGTGCAACCCACCCACACAACATCCCCGCCCTTCCCCCCACCTGGACTCGTGCCCAGGCGCAGTTCTCGGCGAGATCCATGGCGATCATCTTGTTGTTGAGCGACACCGTCATGAGGCACTCCGCTCCGCCTCGGGCTTCACCCACGTCAAGGCACGGCGAGGTCAGGGCGAGGTCAATCCGTCCCCCGTGCATGCCAGGCTCCCCTTAACACTCCCCACGCAAACACACCCCTTCCCCGCAATCAACACCTCCGCCCTCCCCTCCTCCCCCAACCCCCACACAAACCCCACGCCCGCCCCCTTCCCCCCACCCCTCCCCGCTCCCCGCCCCCCCCCCCCCCCACCTGGATGCGCGCACAGGCGGGGTATTCTGCGAGATCGATGGCGTTCTTGTTGAGCGACGCCGTCATGAGGCGCTCCGCCTCGGGCTCCATCCACGTCGTCACGAACGACGCCAGGTTCAGCCGTGGCTTGCCGTCCATCTCCAGCATGTCGGATACGATCTGATACGCCACCTCGCGCGGCATCTCGTCCTCGGGGAACACGTGCCTGGGGGGGAAGGGGAGAAGGGGGAAAGGGGGGGGGGAGGGGAGCGGGGGCGAAACGGAACGGAACGGGCAAGAGGCGGAATGGGGGACAGAGGTTAAAAGAAGGGAATCTCGCCGTTTGGCGACCCGTGGCTGGCTGGCGGGACGCTGAGGAGCGGGAAAGGCTGTTGGCAGAGGCAAGAGAGAAAAAGAACGTAGCGGGAAGCTCCAGGGTAGGTTGCGGGGAGATGGCGAGGAGGGGTGAGGAGATGACGACGGCAGCGAGAGACAGACGCAGAGCAAGTAGAAGGGGGACGGAGGGAGACTACTCGTATGCGCGCGAGCGAGGCGCCGGCACGCAACAGGAGCACGAAGACGAAGACGAAGACGAGTACGAGCACGAGCACGGGCACGGGCACGGAAAGGCACGAGCACGGGCACGAGCACGGGCACGAGCACGGGCACGAGCACGGGCCCGAGCACGGGCGTGGCGCGTACCGTTTGACGGGCTGCTGCATGTAGCGGTTGGCGAAGACGGGCTCCAGCACCGCGTCCTCCTTGCTGCTGTCGGTCGACGTCGCGCGCGATAGCACCATGATGGCCACAACGGCGAAGGCGACGGTAACAGTGATGGTTGGGCAAAGCGGAGAGGACGGAGAACAGGGCGTGCGGTGGCGGACGACAGTGGCGCGCTCCAACTGGGTATCTCCAACTCAGTACTCGTTTTCGAAGCTAGCTCGGTATCGGTGTGAAAAGCGAGAGAAAATCGGCAGAATAGTGCGCAGGTGGTGGGGAGAAAAGACGTAAGCCGCGAGAGACGAAAGAGAGGCGACATCGGATCGCGCGCGGGGGGACAAGAAGACGCGCGCGACGCACGAGGTGCGGAGAGTGGAATGGCGTCGCAATGCCACGTCGCTCTGATCGCACATGCCCCGAATCCGTTCCGACTCCCGCGATTCCACTCTCGACACTCGACTCTTGACTCTCGAGCACGAGGCGGGTCCATGGCAACGAGCGACGAGCAACAATCTCTAAGCCGGAAGGCGCGTGTCTGGTCATTCAGTGCGTCAGGAAACGCCACGTGGAGCTGCGCCGGCGACTGATACACACAAGCCGCCGTGCATGGCGGCGCTGACAGCAGGTGCATGCGGAGCGCCAAGCAGCCAAGCTCTTCCCCCAGGCGATTGTGGAAGGCAATTTCTGATTGAACTGAATTCGAAGGTGGACTTTGGCATGCAATGTTGAAGCGGCGTGGCCCTTGGATTGGGCTGGGTTTGGGGAGCTGAGCTGACACCAAGCAGGAGCAGAATCGTTATACGTATAACACCCATAAAGAAAATCGGTCAAGTATAGTCTTACAAGTGCAGGCAATCGTTCATATCTTCGATCCACTTGGGTACAGTGTTTTGGTGGAACATTCGGCGAGCTTCATCCCAAGCTCCCCATGGAATAAGCTCGAGCACTTGCGCCTTGTTTGAAACTCCGTACCCTGACTGCGCACCGCATTTGACGCCTAGCCGTTTACGAGCCGAGCGTGCGAGCGAGACCATCGAGCAATGCCGCATCCTTGCCTATCCCTCGCCTCGCCTCACGCCGCCAACTGCACGCGCGCTTCTCCGTTTCTTTCCAGGCCTCTCCAAACACCCTCCCCAGCATGCCTGTGTCGCCCACTTCCGCACGCCCGTGGGGGGGGATGCACGCTCCGGCCCTCCAGCGACCGTGCTCCCTCCTCCAATGGCAGGGGGACACGTTCCGTACGAGGTGAGATTCAGCCCAGCAGCAGAAACAGTAGCAGCAGCAGCAATAGTAGAGGTAGCGGCAGCGGCAGCGGCGGCGGCGGCGGCGGCGGCGTCGGAGCAAAGGCGCCGTCCAAGGACGGGACACCCGCAGCCACAGCCGCCAATGCGCGACCTCCACGTGGCGGGTTGCCGCCGCCTCCGACGATCGCGGACATCGAAGCGACGGCGGCAGCGCGAGGCGTGCGACTAGAGATCGAGACGACGGGTCCGCTCTTCACCATCTCCGCTTACGACGCCACTGGTGCGTTCGACGACCGCCGCGACGGGCGCGACGGGCGCGAGGGGCAGGGCGCGCGGACGAGCGCGGAGAGAGAGGGGAGCGGGGGGAGCAGCGGGATCGGAAAGGGAGATAAGCGCGGAGGCAAGCCACGGCTGCTGGGGAGAGCACAGGGGTGTATCCGGCCTCTGCTGTGGGGCAGTAGTAGCAGCAGCAGCAGCAGCAGCAGCGGTAGCGGCAGCAGTGGCAGTGGCAGCAAGTCCCTGCTCCCCCCGCCCCTGCTGCACTTGGACAGCGTGCGCATGGCACGGATCGAGGACGAGCGGCAGCGCGGCGTGTTTGGCGCGGCACTGCTGATCGGCGCGTTGGTGTTCCGATGGGCCATGGATGTGCACGGGTGCCGCGTGGCGCAGCTGCTTGCCATAGACGACACCGATGAGTACCATGCCAAGGTGGGAGGGTGGGCGGGTGGGGGTTATGCTGGTGCTGGTGCTGGTGCTGGGGGTGGTGCTGGGGACGGTGCTGGTGGTTGTTTGAACATATGAGTGAGCAATTGCGCTTTTCCTTGTTCGGGCGGGCGAAGGCTGGTACGTTATCAAGTCAGCCCCAGAGGTTTGTCGCAAGCGCTGCACTCCGTATGTACAGCAGGTCACCTGCTCCTTTCTGCCTGAAGAGCAGCGTTTCACTTCACCCACCCTGGAAGGTCTATCTAACTCTCACTCCACAATCATGTCACCTGCTCCTCTCTACCATCCCACTTCTCCCTCCCGTGTCCTCAACTCGCTCCCCCTCACTCCACCCGTCCCCTTCCCCCCCTCCCCACCCCCTCGGCCCCATTTCCGCCAGTTGGTGCGCTACTACTCGCGGCTGGGCATGCGGCCAGTGCGGGAGGTGGAGGGGGGGTCGCTGGGCGACATACCGCACATGCTCGTGTGGGGGGGAGCGGGCACGCTCATGGAGGGCGAGATAGAGCCGCTGCTGCGCCGTTGGGCCAGGGTGTTCCCTCCCGCTGCTGCGCCTGCTGCTGCTGCTGCTGCTGCTGCTGCTGCTGGTGCTGGTTCTTCTGCGGGGAGGGATGCTGCGATCGACTGATGGCTTCCCTGCTGTGTTGGGTGGTGGTGGTGGTTGAACGATTGCTTCTACGAACTGATGGACCGACCAACCAACTCTTTTGCTGCTGCTGCTGCTGCTGCTGCTCTGAACCGACGATTTCCTCAAACCGACTACTGCTCGGGTTGCCATTGAAGGGAATTCTCATCTCAAGCACAGGAACTCTGATGCTGTACTTCAATACGGTGCATGTAAGGACTGGACCTTGATGGATGCACCTTTGTCCAACGGCATGGAGCACGGAGAGTTGCATTTAGCATAGCCAGGCAGCATCAAAGGGTGCATAGAACACAGCGAGGAAAGACAGGCTGTCTCAAGTCTTGAACAAAACCCTTTTCTAGGCAATCTTTATTGCGGCTTGTTGTACCAGTACCTTCATCCTTACAATGCCAATGGAGTCTTACCTATATTGCTACGCTGCTTCATCAAATATTCTCCAAAACCCTAGCGCTGCTACGTACGGCATGACAGGCAGGCAGTCTCCGTTGGCACCCTCACCTCCAACCAATTCCCTCAAAGACGCAGGTCAATGGTCTAAACCGACATCAGACAGCAGGTGAGCCTGACAGGGCAGGTATCACGAATGCACACCCTATGCTTACATTTTAGGGAGGCCCAGTCCATTGAAGAATCATACTAAGCTCGACAGACACAGTTCTCAGACAAGCATCCGTGAACACACCACTGAACATGCACCCTACCTGGCTCCATACTAGGCTATCCACTCCTCCTCCACCCCCTCCTCCCCCCACCTCTCCCCCGCAAAATACGGTGCCAGCAGCCGGCTCACCTCCTCCTTCCTCGCACTCACCACATCCTCCTCCACTCCCCCCTCCTCTCCCCCCTCGCCCACCTCACACGCGTGCAGCAGCGCCGTCCTTACCCCCCTATCCGGCCGCATCCCAGCCTCCTCCACCATCTCCTTAAACGCTGCCACAGCACCCTCAAAGTCCCCACAGTCACCGTGCGCGGAGATCAACAGAGAGTAGGAGACCACCGTGGGGTCGATCCCTGCTTCCAGCATGCGCTCAAAGGTGAGCAGCACCTTCCCCAGGTCGCCCTCGCGCCGGTACCCGTTCATCACGATGTTGAACGTTGTCGCGCTGGGGCTCACCCTCCCCCCGTCGCCAAACTCCACGCCCCACTGCCCCTTCTCCGCCCACCCAGCACCGCCCGCCCCGCCCGCCCCTCCCTCTCCAGCCCATGATCCCCCACTGGGGGATTCGTGGTCTGCCCCTCCCCCTGTGCTTCCTGCCGGTGCGGCTGCTGCTGCTGCTGCTGGTGTCTCCCCCCGGTCCTCAGCGTCCCACCACATCTGTCGGAGCAGCTGCTCTGCGCGCTCCATGCTGCCCGCACGGCTGTGGGCCGAGAGCAGCGCGTTGAATGCCGCCTCTGACGGCAAGTACCTGGTGGCGGAGAGGGGTGGGAGGGGGGGGTGGAGAGGGTAAGGGGGGCGCGGAACATTCCATTCAACCGGCCATGCAGTACTAATCAGACACACCGCAACATCCCGTTTTCAGCAGGTGAGTGTGTAGAGTGAGCAGTGAGCATGTGTGCGAATGTGCGAATGTGCGTTTGTGCGTGCATGCACGCATACCGGTTGCGTTTCATCTCCTTGAAGAGGAACTCTGCGTTGTCCACGTCGCCTGCCCGCCCGTACGCGTCGATCAGAGCCGTGTACGAGATGGCCGTGGGGCTGCCAGCCAAGGTGTTCCGCATTCCGCGGGTAGAGAGGGGGACGGGAGGGGAGGGAAAAGAAATAAAGCATAGAGGGAGGGGAGCCGGATGTGGAGATGCGATTAGTGGCATGGCATGAAGGCAGGCGCCAAGTCAGTGTTTTGTTTTGAGAATGATAAAAAAACAAAGCGCAGCGCAGTGATCAGCGCTGTAAGAGGCACATCACATAATGCCGTCTGTGGATTCATGAAACATGCGACCGCGGTCATTCATACCCCCCCACCCCCTTTGCCCCCACGTCCTCCATCTGACAATGGAAGCAGCACACCTTATAGACGCGCCCACGTCCCCTAATAGACGCCCACCTTCTCCCACAATATCCAGCACTAGACAGAATGACCATGGCTCACCGGATGCGGCACATGACCATGGCTCACCGGATTCGGCACATGACCATGGCTCACCGGATGCGGCACATGACCATGGCTCACCGGATGCGGCACATGACCATGGCTCACCGGATGCGGCACATGACCATGGCTCACCGGATGCGGCACATGACCATGTCTCGGAACACAGCCTGTGCCTCCTCCGCCCTGCCCGCACGGCCATACGCGCTCATCAGCGCCGTGTACGTCACCACGTCCGGCCGCAGCCCCGCTGCTTGCATCTGCACAGCACAGATTGAGCAAGTACAGCAGTGGGTGGGTGGGTGGGTTGGAGGCTCAATCACCTGGAAGGACCCATCAACAAGCTGAAGAGACGGAGACCACCCTACTGCTCATCCTTACTCTCGCTCGCTCTCTTCTCCCCCCCCCTCCCGCTCCCCCCCCTGTTCCCCCATCCTCCCCTCTCCCCCACACCTGTCTGAGCACGGCCTCGGCCCCTCTGCTGCGGGCCTCGCGGGTGAACATGGCCACGAGGGTGTTGAAGGTGGCGGGCGACGGCGGCACACTAGCGCCTACCTCGCCCTCGCATCTCACCCACTCCACCCCAACCCCTACCTCGCTACTACTACCCCCCACCCCCACCAACCGCTCACCTGTTTGAGCACGGCTTCAGCCTCTCTGCTGCGGGCTTCTCGCGCGAACATGGCCATGAGGGTGTTGAAGGTACTGGGCGACGGCAGCACCCCCAGCGCCTTCATGCGGCGGTACATGCGCGACGCGTCCTCCACGCGCCGCGCACGCGCGTAGCAGTCGATCAGCACGTTGAACATGCGCTCGTCCACTTGCACTGCCGCCGCCGCTGCTGCTGCTGATGGTGCTGCTGCTGCTGCTGCTTCTTCCCCGGCTGCTGCTGCTGCTTCTGCTGCTGCCGCTGCTCCTGGTGATGCTGCTGCCTCTTCTTTCAAATCCTTTCCACTACCTGAAGTGCTTGCGGCATGTACTCCCTTCACTTCCATATCCGCGTCCACAGACCCCTCCCCCTCCCCCTCCCCCTCCCCCTCCCCTTCCGCCTCCGCGTACCTCTGTCCGCTGCGCACCAGCAGCTCCTCAAAGATGCGCTCCACGTCCTCCACCCGCCCCGCCTGGACGGGCGCGCAGGGGAGGGCAGGGCACGGCACGGGAGAGGAGGGGAGGGGAGGGGAGGGGAGGGGAGAGGAGGGGGGGGGGGGAGGGGTTTGGGGAATGGGGTGGAACGGCAGAGAAGGAGGGAGACACGGCGGACATTGCGATCATGTGCTCTGTGGTGCTACATCTTGTGTGTGTTACCATGATTCCTTCTATTCTACCTGCCCACATCGACCTCCAGCCCGTACGAGGCAATACTGCTGACACCTACAACCCGACCCCAAAACTGCAAAACCGCACTCAGCTGCTGCTCCATCAGCCAAAACCGCGGCCCATCCCCCCACATCCAGCCCGAAACCCGTCCAAAACCCCGAACCTCAACCTTCCCATCCTTCCCCTCCCACTTTCCCACCCACCCCTCCGTTTCCCCCCCCCTCCACTCCATTTTCGTCCCTCCCTTATCCCCCCCCTTCCCCAGCCTCACCGAGGCATAGCCTTTCAGCAGGCACTGGTAGGTGAGCGCGGAGGGCGCGGGGCCCTTGCTCTCCATGCGGCGCACCACCGCTTCCGCCTGCTCCAGCTGGCCGCACCGACCGTACGCCTCCACCATGCCCGTCATCACCACCGTGTTCGGCTCCATGCGCCTCCCCGCGACCTCCCCTTCCGCCCCCCGTTCCGCCACCCCCTCCGCGCCCTCCTCCTCCGCGCGCTCGTTCACCAGGTCCCGCAGCGCCTGCTCCGCGCGCGCGAGGTGGTGGCAGCGCGCGGCGGCGGTGATGAGCATGGCGTAATCGCGCTTCGACATGCGCCACCACCCCCCCGCGCGCTGGTCGGGGGACTGCAGCCAGTCGAACACCTGCGGGCGGTATGGAGAGGGGCGTTTGCGCAGAGGGTTTTGGGGAAGGAAGTCGGGGGAGAGGGTTTGGGAAACAAAAGGTCGGGGAGAGGGTTTAAGAAGAAACGCTTCCACACTACACCACAGGTGGCTTTGGAAAAAATTATCAAAGCACGCACGTCAACAACGTCTTCTACGACGCATCTCACCTCCACCACAGCATGCCACATGCGCAGCTGATGCAGGCGCACCACCGCGCCCACCACGTCCGTCCGCTGCAGCCACCCCGCCTTGCGCGCATCCCCCATAATCTCCGCCACCGTAGGCCCGTCCGCCACCGCCGCCGCGCCGGTCCGCCGCCTCTTCCCCGCTGCAAGAAGCTCCGTCATGAGCACTTCCCACCGCTTCTGCTCAAAACTCTTGGACTCCGCCTCCTCCGCGCTTCTCCTCCGCGGGGTCCACTTGGGCCTCCCTGCGCCCACCTTGACCTTCTTCGCGAACGCAGCGGTTACAACCAACGCCCGGGCTTTCGCGGATCTAGCCCCCCCGGGCGCGGATAAACCTGGAACGCCAGTAACACTAGTTAATTTAGACGCGCGCTCGTGCGCGGAGCTGGTAGATCGGTGCTTCGCAAGCCCCTGCGCCCGCACCCCTTGGCGGCCAGTCACGAAGGCGGCATCGCTCGCCGCGAGGCGGGGCTCCGCGCAAGTGCAGCTTGCGGTGAGGGTGCGCTGGCAAGATGCGGAGGGGGATAGGGCCCACGGTGGGACTACAGCGCGGGTTATTCTAGCAGCTGCCATAGCGAGCTGAGGACTCGGTAGAAGGGTAGGATGCGTTGAAATGGGAGGGGGGGAGAGATGGGGAGCGAAGGAAGAGAGGTTTGTGAGCGTCGCAGAAGGTAGCTAGCTTTGCACCAGAATGGGAGGTGCTGTAGTGCTGGTACAAAGAAGAATTCGGGAGGGAGTTGGGACTTGGAGTTGTCGGCGAATGACGTGCCTCGTTCTATCTTATAGCATGTATGATAGTACAGCACCCTCAACAAACGCTTTTCCCTAAGCTAAGCTCCAGCCTTCCAACTTTTCAAGATCTATAGAATGCACTTCAAGCAAGGCTAGCATGCTACTGCACATGTTCACTATCTCACTAACAATGAATAAACTTATCAAGCATTACACGTCGCTTTAGGGCCATGCTCGTTCTAACCTAACCTGCCTTCCTAAGCCCTTTTCCGAATCACACCCTCGATTCACACTCCTGCTCATCCAAGTCCATGACCACTAGTTCAGCTTTTCCCTCTCCTGCTCCTCCCCACACCCTCACCTTCTTTCCTTCTTTGCTATCTCCACATGGTTTGCTCTCTGAAGCTTCCCTCACCCACAACCCCGCCTTGCTGTTGTCTCTCATCTTCTCAGCCCATCCTCACCAGCTGTCGTGATCTCTCACGTCCCATCCCATGCCATTTCCTCCTAGGCTACTTCCTCACATGCATTCCTCCCCCCCTCCTGCCACTGCCCCTGAGTTGAGCAGGGCTTCTCGCCCCTGCTGCCCCACCAACAGACCGCACTCCGGTGCTCCTTTCCCGAACGACGGCATTCCCAGCAGCCCCTGTGGCAGCCGCCCTCCCCTCTGCTGCTGCTGCTGCCACTGTAACGACTGCTGCTGCTGCATCGGTGGGCGCTGCTGCAGCGTCTGCTGTGGCACGACTTTGAAAGCGCTGTGACGCGTATGAGAGGACCGCAGAGGCTGTGCAAAAATGGGAAGGCATGTGCAACAAGGGAAAGGAGTATGGGCTCAGAGAGCATCAGAACGAGACGGTTCAACAGGTGCACAGGGGACTAACCAGGGTAGTATGTGAGCAGCAGCAACAGCATGCATGAAACGGAGCCACAAGATTGGGTGAGGGAGACAGAGGGGGAAGCAGGGAGATTAAGCAACGTGGCGAACCAATTTCTCGCAGGTGGCTTGGATCCAGGAGGCCGATGAGCGATGCTGCTGCTCTGGAGTCAATGCGAGCCAGCAGCGCCACTTGCTCTGATGCCACCTGCTGTATGGCAGACAGCAGTCGCTGCACACCCATGACAACATGCAAAGACGAGGGGCGATATTGGAGATACCGGGGATGGGAGGAGAGACAAGAGGCGAGACATGCGCATGTGAGTGAACGGCGAGAAAACGCAGAGACAAGGGCAGGGCAGGTGACCGGAGATGGAGAGAGTGAGGAAAAGGGAAAAATCTGTGAGGAAGGAAAGCAGAGACTATGTGCTGCAAGCTCACCACATGGTCTCTGCTGTCCCGAGTGGCCCTCTCCCACTCCTCGCGTGTCTCCACCAGCTTCTCCGCCGCCACCTCTCGCCTCACCACCCGCGGCGCATTCCCAGCCCTGCCGTCACTCCTGCCACTCTCCCCGCCCCCGTGCATCTTGTCCCAGTGCTTCTCGCACTTGAGCCACGGCAGTGCGAGCATGGGCACGCCCCACCGGCACCCAGGGGCGTTGCACAACACCTCGTCTGCTGACACAGGGATAGGCGCGAACAACTGGGCTTCTTCCGCTGCTGTGCCCAGCCCTACTGCTCGCCCTGTTCCGCCATACCACATGCCGTGACCCTCTTGCCCTACTGCCTGTGTCTGCTCCTTCTGAAGAACTGGGTGCTTCCTTCCCTGCTCGCCTTCCTTCCTTCGCCCTCCCCGTCCCCCCCTTTTCCCCTTCAATCCCCTTCCACCTCCTGCTGCTTCACCCTTTCCTGTCCCACCCCCTGCCACCACCAGTGCCAAAGACAAGTCCGCGTCACCAACTCCCACGATCCCTGCCCCAGCTCCCCCTCCTCCCGTTTCCCCCCTTTTCTCCGCAACCCGCTCCTGCGCGTCCCTCTCCCTGAGCATTGCTAGCTGCCGCTGCTGCTGCAGCATGCGGGAGAGGGGGATCGCGAGCTGCCTGCGCTCGCCGCCCTCGCACCGGAAGTACGTAGGCAGCTCGCTGTAGCGCCCGGTGGGCCCGCGCGAGGCAAACTGGCACTCCAGGTCGCGCGTCAGCAGCCTGCGACGAGAGGCCACGGAAGGGTGCGAGAGCTGCCCGTGCCACGCCACCCACCACGGCACCCCTCCTCCTCCGCAGCCGCCTGTACCGCTGCCGCCGCCAGTCGCACCAGCAGTATCATCGCCAGTCGCACCACCACTACCACCACCATCAGCACCAGCGCTTCTGGCACTGCCACTCCCTCTGTGTCCGGCCTTGCTCTGGTTGTGCTTCTCTCTGAAATCACCAGAGCTTTCTTCGTCTTCACCCCTCTCCCTCTCCCCATCCTCTCCCCCCACACCAGCCGCATGCTGCTCCTCCCCCCTCTTCTCCTCTCCCCTCTCATCCGCCTTCTCCTCCTCCTCGTTCCCCCAGTCATCGTCATCCAGATCTTCCTCGTCCCCCGCCTCTTCATCACTCTCCCACGACCCCAGCATGCGCCCCTGCTCCTCCTCCTCCTGCCTCACCATCGCCTGGCACCACGCCTCAACGCACTCCACCCCTCTCGCCTCCGCAGGGTAATCGCTCAGAAACTCCAGGAACCGCCACATGCGCAGCCGCCGCCGGAAATACGGCAGGGTGCTGCTGTTACCGCCGGCGCCGTGCCGCTCCGCCACCCACTCCAGCATCTCCTGGGGCCGGTGCCGGAGCGCTGTCGGCAGCCGCCTTTCCGTTTGCTTCAACTCCGCCAGCCATCGCCGCGCGTCCTCCTCCACCATTCCTGCGCGCCGAGCCTCGCGCGGGTTTAGCAGCACCAGCTGCAGATCGCTCGCGGGAGACTCTTCCGGGACATCGTCAACCTTCACAATTCCCCAGTCCGCGCTATAATCGTGCTCGTTTTCCGTCCTAAGGTCCGACGGTTCGTTCCTATCGGAGGCGGCTGTAGCCTGGTCTCTGCGCCCTTTACCGTTGTCGTCTCTTTCTCCCACTCCTCCTCCCCCCGAACCCTCCTCGCCACCGCTGCCCGGCCATAGTCGCCGGACTAAACTGTCCCTCCTGCTACCGCCTTCAGCATTTCCTTCCGCCTGCCCTCGCGGAGACGCCGCGATGGCCAGCAATTGCCCGTCAAGCCGTCGTCGCTTCCTTGCGCCTTCGCTTATCCTCTCCCCGCCTTCCTCCTCCGCTGCACCTTCCCCCTCCTCGCCAACCCTGTCCACGTCAGCCAAGCACGCGGCGTCGTCGCCCATCGTACTGCCCGCGTCTTCCTCTCCCGCCATGGCACTCCCCGCCATCAGAGCGCGGCTGCCGTCGTTATCGCGCTCCTGCCGCAGCCACCGCTTCATGGCTGACGATCCCGACGCGCCTGCGGAAGAGGAGGGTAGCGCGCTGCCTGGGGAAGCGAACGGGCGAGAGGCGTTTCGCTTCTGGCGGGAGCGTAGCACACCCATCTCGCTGCGGAGAAGCGAGCGCTGACGAGCAGCCTTGAGGCGGTCCGTGGGGGTTGATTTTGGAGGAAGGGATGCTCGGGCCTTGTAAGGCTTCCCAGGTGTAAGGGGGTGCGACATGGCTGCGCGAAGTGGTAGCGGAACTGGTGAGTGGTGTCTCAGAATTAGGGTTCCATGTGAAAGGTTTGGGGGAAATAGGAGGTTGGGGGTTTTTGAAGGGTGGCAGGGTGGTGTTGCCTGAGCGGGGGGAACCCTGCTCTGCTGGGTCTTGTAACGAGTTGACTGCACGACGGAGCAATCCCTGCATTCCAAAAGATGTGACGAGAGTGACGTGACGATCGTATAGGGCCCCAAAGACAGGAATTTCATTAGCAGCTCGTGTAGCTGTATGTATGCAATGTGAGAAGCATCAAAGGAATTATAAGGGAATCGTGTCAAAGGGGAGTGTAAGAAACTAAAACTGCACTACACTATGCTTGCTGACTGATGTCAACTGAAAATCTGTCATGCTAAAACTGCATCTCGGTTACCAGTTACATGTTGGGCAATCCACCCAAGCCCCTCAAACAGGCCCTCCCCTGTAAGTGCACAGCATGCCTGAATATGCCAGTCATGATTCTTGATAAGGTGAAGAGCCAACGCTTCACTTATTTCCGCTGGAGTCATGGCCTCCTTCAGGTCCTGCTTGTTGGCGAAGACGAGAATGACGGCATGAGCCAAGTCTTCATGCCCCAGCAAGCGAAACAGCTCATCCTTGGTCACACCAATGCGGCCCCGGTCTGTGGAGTCAACCACCATCACCACTGCGTGAGTGCCTCTGTAGTAGGTCGCCCAAGATGGTCGTAGTCGCTCTTGCCCACCTAGATCCCACACCTGCGGAATGAAGTTACAGAAAACGTGCAGAGACGATGAGGTCCAAACTAGACAAGGTCGAATACCATAGGTAGGCGACGCTAGAAGAACAGAACGTTGAGCATGAAACGCAACAAGGCACGGTAGAAGCATAACAGGCGAACAGGTGGAGCATACTGATGCTTAGAAGCTGACGGCGTGACCTGAGAGACAATAAGATGGGAGACGAGGCTGGTCGAAGCAGTTTGTATCCATTCAAATGCGCAAACCCTATACTGCCATGATTGCAAAAATGAGTAAGGCTGGCGTCACGCAACCCTAACTGCGGGATGTGTTTGGCTGACGTCACGCAAACCAAGAGTCGGGACGCGTTCAGCTCACGTACGCAGCCCCAATTGCAGAGACCACTCAACTGACGTCACGCCGCCTTGATTGCGGTGTAAATCGACAGGGCTTTCGACGGAAACAAAATAAAATGGGAACTAAACGATGCATGTCGATGGAACTTCTCGATGTATACTCCAGCAACCCAAGCGGATCGGATAGTACGGAGCCCGGAGTAACCACTTGCCTCAAATCGTATGTTTTTGTAGACGAGTTCCTCCACGTTGCTTCCGACTGTGGGTTGTGTCACCACGACCTCACCCAGATGTAGCTTGTAAAGGGTCGTCGTCTTGCCGGCGTTGTCCAGACCAACAACCACAATCTTATACTCCTTCGCCGGGAACATGAGAAACCAGAGTCTAGATATTAGGGCCCCCATGCTGCCTTGGAAGGAGAATCGACTGAACAGAAGGACCGACGCAGGTCTGGCAGGACTACCTCGTCAAAATGACTGATTATTGGACACCTCGCAAACTCCGATATAAATTTGATAAGTAGACACCACTACAGCCTGCCTAAATGGCGGTTAGGTTGGGGAATAGCTGGGAGGCGACTGTGCTGGCATGGCTCTCGGGCTTTCAAACTTAGCTGCTGTCGTTGTGTCTGGAACTTGATCCAGCAAAGCAGGAAGGTGGGTTGGATGGACAGGATGGAGAGAAGGAATGAAATCGCAAGCCGAGCTCTACGTCACAGACGACCGCACTGCACTGCACACACCACACCACCACCTCATTCCACAACACGTTTCCACCCCACCGTTCCATACCACGTCTCCCGCTGGTTGGGTATTCCCAGTGCGAGTCACGCTCAGTGACAGCTGACGGATCAGGCCGTAACAATCTATTACACTCCCTTCACTATTTGAAATTAAAAAAACCGCTAGTAAATTTGATATACAGGTGCCAAACAGATAGTACCGATTTGAGGAGACTATCGCACAACCTATAAGTACCCACAAAAATATATAATCTAGTCACAAACCATGATAATAATTACAATGTGTATTTTTAGTCTATCGGCAGCAATGCATAGTTGAAGATTTATCAGTGGCACATTTCATTGATTTTATTTGTGTAATCTCCATGTTGCACCCATGGTTTCAGCTATAAGGCGGTCTGATAATCAGACGGGGTTTCAATTTTTGGTCCCGCCCTGTCAGGGTTCGCTTCCGCCCCCAATCCGGTCAAGCGACGAAGAAAAAAAACAGTAGTGTGGAAGCAGGATAGTAGTGATTTAGCAGGGAAAACCGGGCTGCGAGGGGTGTGTGGGGGAATGTTTCTCAAAGAAAGGGACGTCGTCAAATTTTTGGGGCTGCGTGTGGTGTGTTGAGGAATGTCTCTGGTGTAGGGGACTTAGCCAGAATATTATTGTTCCGAGGGGTGTGTGGAGGAATATCTGTGGTGTGGGGGATTTAGCCAGAAAAACTAGGTTTTCTAGTGGTATGGGAGGAATGCATCTGGCAGTCGGGTCGGGGACTTGGCCGGAAAAATCTTGGTTGGGGAGGGGGGAGGGGGAGGGATGGGGTGGGGGAGCAACGAGGAATGTGTCAGACGAAAAATTCCGCGCTATCTGAATTCTCATACTAAAGTCTACACCTGGTCTGAATTCAGACGAAATCTTATGGCTTATCTGGACGATCAGACGAAATGAATTAGTCCGTAAAAAAATCAGATGAACGGAAAAAAACAGGTTTTGATTTTCTGACCATCATACCGATTTCGTCTGATATCTGAGACCCTGGTATCAGAATGAATAATGACTAGAATGCGGAGATACAAGGCAATATACATTGGTGAGCTGTACCCACTAAGGCACAAACACATATAGTCTACAGTAACTGCAAAAGTTATGTTTGACACACCCCCTAGACTATATAGGGGCAGTGCCTAACAAGGGAAGAAGCAGCTCAGGGCGGCACTACTAGTCCAACCTCTGAGACAAGGGTCTAAAGACCAATCACAAGGAGTATAGACAAGGCAAGAGCAAGGCCAGGGCGGCACTACTAGTCCAGCCACTGGGAGAGGCCACGAGGCCAGTCTGGGTAGAATATATATACAGTATGAAGGACAGTACAAAGACAAGGCCCTAGCAAGTGAGAGGCTACAGGAACGAGACCTAGCTGTACACAGTGCCGCTGATGATCTTTAGGCGCAAGCGTCTTCCTAAAGATATCAGCTGTGTTGGCACCGGAGGCCAAGTGTACTACGCGTGCCTGGCGACGCTGCTGGAGCTCACGCAGGAGGAAGTACCGCAGCTGGATGTGCTTCGCTCTGCCCTCGAGTCGAGGCTTCTGACACAGGAGGGTCATGGCCCTGTTGTCAGCGTACAGGACCGGGGCAGAGCTAGGCCGCTCACCTAAGTCAGTGAGCAAGAAGGTCAGCCAGCGGAGCTCCTGTGCCGCCATGGCACCGGCGTAGATCTCGGCCTCACAGCTGGACTGCGCAACAGACGAGGAGCGGGTAGCTCTCCACGAGACGGCACCTGAACCAAGGCTGAAGCAGTAGCCCTGCGAGGACCTGAGGGTCTCGGCGTCGTCTGCCCAAGAAGCGTCAGTGTGTCCAGTAAGGACCACTGGTCTGCGTCCTCCTAGCACTAACCCCATGCCCGATGTACTTGCAAGATAACGCAAAACCCTCTTCGCGGCAGACCAGTGCTGAAGTCGGTGTCTGCCTGTAGCCACAAAGCGAGCAAGGATGCTGAAAGGGTATGCGAGATCTGGGCGAGTGCAAGTCATCAGGTACATGAGGCAACCCACCAGCTCTGCGTAAGGAGCAGCGGGCTCTGCCGACTCCTCAGGAAGTGGAGCGGAGAGCCTGTGGTCTAGAGGCAGAGGAGTGGGCTGTGCGGAGGAGAACTGAAGGCTGAACCTTTGAAAGACCTGGCGCACCAAGTGTGACTGAGTCAAAGTGATGGTGTGCGCTGCTCTGTCCCTGGAGATCTGCAAGCCAAGGTAGTGGCGCAGTGCTCCAAGATCAGTGCACGTGTATCTCTTCAGCAGCTCTGCCTTCACGGAGGCCAGTGCGTTCCTGTCTGCCGTGGCAAAGACCAAGTCGTCTACGTAAACAAGGATGTAGAACGGGGTCTGGCCAGCACGAACAATGACCGAGAGGTCTGCAGAGGATGGAAAGAACTGCAAGTCAGCAAGCGTAGTACGCAGCGTGTCATGCCACTCACGGGGAGCCTGCCGCAGGCCCTAGACGGGGCGCCGGAGGAGCCACTGGGTCCTAAGAGGGAAGGTTCCTGTGAAGCCCTGAAGGCGGTGCATGTAGACCTGCTCGTGTAGACTGCCCTGAAGAAACGCAGTGGAGAAGTCGAGGGAGTGAAGCTCGTAGTCACGCTGAGCTGCTACGTGTAGCAGCACCCAAAGAGCAGTCATCTTCGGGGTCGGAGCGAAGGTCTGGAAAAAGTCCACCCCCTCACGCTGACTGAAACCTCTAGCTATGTAGCACGCCTTGAACACAGGCGGCTCTCCAGGAGGGCGCTTCACCTTGAAGAGCCAGCGGCCATCGACCACGTTCACCCCAGGTGGGGGAACTGCGTCGATGTAGGTGCCGGTGGATCTCCAAGATGCCATCCCCTGCTCCATGGCAGCTATCCACTGAGAGGCCCAGGGTCCCGAGGTGGCCTCAGCGTAAGTGCGAGGGGTCAGGATGTCGAAAGGGTTGGGGTCACCCTCTGGGACTAGAAGCATAGAGCAGAGATGGGGAGCAGCCTTGGACAGGAAAGCAAGCTCCTACTGGCAGTCCTCCAGGACGTCACTGCCGAGGGCTGGAGCACCCCCGACAGACGGAGGACAGGCAGGGTTAGAGACCAGAGCGGTGGCGTAGTAAAGGCGGCGGATAGAGGTGAAGTCAGCGACCGCAGCTACAAGGGCGTCAAGACTCGAAACCGGAACAGACGGGTCGGTAACGAGAGAGGCAAGGACCCGAGGGACAAGAGGACGAGCGGCACGCAGGTAGTCAGACAGAGGGGGGGGGAGAGCAACGACAAGGGAGGACGGAGGGGGCGATGGGAGAAGGGGAGGACGAAACACGTGGGAACGAAGCAATATAGGGTAAGAACGCGAGACAGTGGAGACAGGTCGTGCACGGGATGGACGGCGAGACCAGACGTGAGACGGAGGAGTCGGGTCAGGAGACGAGGAACGAGGGGGAAAACATGTCGGAGACGAGTCCGGAGGAGGGAACACAGGGCCGTAGACAGGAGGAGGCACAGGCACGGGGTCAGGGGACGGAAGGCCGAGAAGGCGAAGAGCGGACACCAGCGGGGACTGCTACGGCGGCGGTGTGACACCAACAGCGAGACCTCCAGAACACTCCACGCTAGCACCTCCAGAAGAAACACCCCCAGAGCTCAGAACCCCTCGAGCACCGGTACCACCCCCAGGCCCACCGGGACAAGCCACGACAGGAGTCCGAGGACTAGTACCCACCCTCACCCCAACTCCAGCACCCCCAGAGGCAACGAACTGGGGCGGCGACGGCTGCAACGACGGCAGCGGCGGCGGCGGCGACAGGGACGACGGCTGCGACAGCGATGGCGATGGCGGCTGTGGAGGCGGCGGAGGAGGAGACACCTTAGAAGGGGCAGGCGGCGAAGACTGCGCCGCAGGACCACCAGAGTCAGCAGACTCTTCAACCGGGACAACCGACGGAAGTGGGGTGATGTCGGACACACCAGAGGGGGCAGGACGGGGAGGGGGAGGAGGAGGGGCGGCGACCACCGGGGAAGGGGTGACCAGGAATAGGGGGGGGGTAACCGGGGAACCTCGGTGGGGGAAGCGGCGGTAGAAGGAGACGGACTCGTCAAAGGTGACGTCGCGGGAGTGAAAGATCGGGTGAGACAATGGGTGGTAGAAGTGCCAGTCAGACGCGTCAAGGGGGAAACCGAGGAAGACACAGGGAAGGGTGCGGGCAGAGAGCTTGTCCGTGCTAGAGGCACGAACGTGAGCAAGGCAGCCCAAGACGTGAAACGCAGACGCGCCACCAGGGGATCCAGACCAAAGAAGGGTCGGCGAAACCTGAGGCTGCTGGGGGTGCGGCCAAAGGTTAAGCTGGTGAGCGGCGTAGCGAACGGCGAACGACCACAGAAAATGGGGTGCACCGGCATGGATCATGGAGGTGCGAGCCACCTCCATGACCAAACCGATGCGTTGGTCAGCGACCCCATTCTGCTGCGGGGAGTCCGGCAAGGTGAACGTCTGGGTGATGCCCTCCGCACGACAGAAACGACCAAGGACACCAGAGGCAAACTCGCCACCACGGTCGGAGTGGAGACGCAAAACAGGGAGACCGCGGTGGACACGCGCAGAGACAAGCCACGGGATGAGAACGTCAGGCACGTCGGCCTTCCGCTCCAGGGGAAACACCGTGGTTTAGCGCGTGTTGTCGTCGACAGGCACTAGGAAGTAGCGCTCTCGACGCGGCCCATGGACGGGGGCGGGGCCCAAGACGTCCATGTGCAGAGTCTGTAGCGGTGCTGCGGTAGGGGGAAACGAGGAGGAGTGAGGAGCACGGCGGAGCCGGCCCTCGACACAGGGCGTGCAAGGTGGGGCTGGGGAGGAGGGAAACTCGGGAAACGACTCGGGGAGGCCTAGGACGAGATGGTGCTGTGACATGTGACGCAGACACGGTAGCGCAG